TATGGTCAGTAAAAATTGTAAATTTGTTACCATATAGGTAGGGTCTAAAGTGTTTAACGGCCCAAATTATGGCTAAAAGTTCCTTTTCAATCGTACTATATTTGACTTCAGTGTCACTTAACGTTCTACTTGCGTAAGCAACAGGTTTATCTGAGCCAATGTTTCCCTGGGATAAAACAGCCCCAATCGCAAAGTTTGATGCGTCAGTAGTTAATATGAAACTTTTACTGAAATCAGGGTATTGCAGCAATGGTGCATTAGTTAAAAGTTTCTTACAAGTCTCGAAACATTCTTTATACTCATTATTAATAATTATTTTACTACCTTTCTTTAGACATGCTGTAAAGGGTCTCGTGATTTTAGCGAAATCTTTTATAAATTTTCTATAGTAACCTATTAATCCTAGAAAACTTTTTATTTGAGTTACAGTTTCTGGAATGGGATACTTTAAAATGGCTTCTATTTTATCATTATTTGGTTTCAGACCTTCACTTGTGATAGTATGGCCTAAGTATAGTACTTCTTTCCTGAGAAAATGGGACTTATCAAGTTGGACTTTTAGGTTAGTTTTACGAAAACGTTCAAAAACGGTTCTAAGTTTCTCTATGTGTTCAGTGAGGCTTTTTGAGAATATGATGACGTCATCAAGGTAGACCAAGCAATGCAAGCCTTGTAAACCTCTTAAGACGTTATCCATTGCCCGTTGGAACGTTGCTGGTGCAGTTTTAAGTCCAAAAGGCATCCTATTAAATTCAAAGTGCCCTGAGGGAGTGCTAAATGCAGTTTTCGCCCTATCTTCTTCCCGAACTTCAATTTGATGATACCCACTTGCTAAATCGAGGGTGGTAAAATACATACTTTTTCCTAGCATATCAAACAAGTCATTAATGTTCGGTAACGGGTATTTATCATCTGTGGTAATTTCATTAAGCCGTCTGTAATCGACTACCATTCGCCATTTTTGCTGTCCCGTTGAGTCTATCTTCTTGGGTACTAAATGTACAGGAGCACTCCAGGGAGAATGTGATTCCTGGATGATGTTATCTCTTAACATTTTCTCTACCTGATTCCTAATCTCTTTCGATTGCATGGGTGGTAATCTATGGGCCTTAATGTTAATGGGGTCCTCGTTTCTAGTTCTAATTTGATGTTTAACTTGATTCGTAAATGATAACGGTATGTCCTCACAATAAAAAATGTCCTTATATTCCCTACAAATCTTTTCTATAGCATTACGTTCTTCTACATTCATGTGGTCTAGTCTTAATTTGTCTAAATTTTCGGTTAGTAATCTGTCGGTATCGGCATTACAACCCGTGAAGTTAATATTAGTTGTCGGGTTTCGTATGTACGGTTCTACTTTGAAAGGTGCCGTGACTACTAAATCTCTAGATACATCCGTATAATTTTGAATAACGGTGGTTGCGTATCCTTTGTGACACTTAACTAATGCGGCGGGCATTCTAATCCCGTCTCCGAACTGTACAAAATTTAGTATAGCTTCTCCATCTTGTAAATTGACCGGAAGTTTAACTCTAAGTTCGCTACGAAAAGGTAATTGGTACACCTCCTTCATAGGTGGTGAATAAATTATTGGTATATTAGTATTTTTTAACTGTAGAACTTGGCTCTCCATGTTAATTTTTGCCTGTAATTGTTTAAGTAAATTACTCCCAATTAGACCGTCATATCTTTTATCTACGTTATAAACATAAAATTTATGTAATTCGGTACTTCTAAATGATTTTGGTAAAGGAATAACTATAGTTTCATTATGGATACTTGAAGCGTGAGTGCTAACAACTTCAAACGGCTCATATTGCAAATAGCTACTAAAATATTTGTTCGCTAAACTTGGACTTATAAATGACCTGCAACTACCTGTATCTATCATAAAAATAGCATTTAATTCCGGTAATACAATATGTGGTAAATGTATACGAGTATTATAATTTAAATTTATTCGTTCCCTGGGGGAGAGGCCGTCAGGCAAAAATCCGAACTCGAATCGTTATTACTACCCGAAGATTCGTGGTAATCGTTAGTAGTAAAATTATCGTAATTGTTATTATCGGTGTAATTAATACGACGCGAACTTGCAGTACGCATAGTGACATCGGTGTTTGAACCCGATGCTTGCGCAACATGAGGCGACACGTGTTGTCCTGTAAACTGCTGACTTTGGTGATATGGTACCGTTGGTCTATTCATACGCGGACTGGTATTATTTGTATGATTCGAATTGTAAAAATTGTTTCTATTTTCGTATTGTCTAGAATTCCTAGCTTGGAAAGAATTATTAGACGGTACAGAATTGTTATGCGTATTACTTGGTACAGGTGTACTTATCGCTTTATTTAAAAAAAATATTCTGATTATTAGGGTTAGAAAAATTAAAATTAAAAGATCTAAAATTATTGTTACGACGTTGGTTTGTTTTAGAGTCGTAAACAGTTTGAAAATTTTGTTCTTCCAACACTACTTTTAACGCATCTTCTAATGTAGAGACATTACGTAAACGAACTAATCGAACTAAATACTGTGGTAAATTATAGAGAAAAACGTGCATTGTTCTGTCACTATAAATAACTTGTTTTGCTGCTCGTACCGCTTCGATTTTAACGGTTTCGGATAACTTAGCAAAAAGAACACTACGTATGTGTTGCAATCTGTGACAAAAATCCAAATAACTTTCGCCCTTACTGATTTTACAGGATTCTAACTCCATTGCTAAACATTCTTCTGTACGCGGATCACCGAAATGTTGGTTTAGTAATTGTTTAAGCTCATCCCAAGTGCCTATGGTGTCTCTTTCTCCTACCAAAGTGGCTGCTTCACCTGCTAACCTACTAGTGACTACATGGAACAAATATTCATTTTGATGTTCGTTCCCTTGGAATGTAGATAATATGTATTCACATTTTTTTATATATAGGGCTAATGTCCTAGCATCTCCGCTAAAAATAGGAATGATTTTAACCATTTCCTGTGGAACACGGTTAATTCCTTCCATGATTATTAATTAATAAGAAGTAAGGAGAAGTCGAGAAAAAAAAATTTTTTACGTAAAAATATGCCTTACTGCGATGTAAAAATAATGTCACTTAACTAAGTGCCTACAAGTTATAATATTGCAAAGTATTATCACGGCGTTTTCCAATCCCTAATAATACACACAACACATAAAACTTATTACAAGGTTCGAAAAATGGATAGCTGAAAGGAAGGTGAAAAGATTTACTCACAGTTCCGCAGCTTTTCCCATCTCGTGTCGGACTTCTTGTTGTTTGGTTAGCTCTGCTGTTGTCCACGAAGTCTTCTTAAAAAATTTGTTTGATCGGTATTACTGTTGAACCGTTGAAACGGACGTCGGTCTTCTAGTAGGTACTAATACTGGAACACTGACTACAGAAATCCTACCGGCTGCGCCATTTAAGTGACTGACAACGTTGAAATTAAAAATATATATTTATTTGAACAGAGTTACAACAAGAATAATCTAAATTTAATACAATATTGATTTCTTATATACTAATTATCTGCTAATTCAGTAATTTCGTAATAATGTATGACCTAGATAAAAAGTCATTATTTAGTTACTTTATTCTTGCTTACGAAGCTAATATGTGTATATTGGGGTTCCTTAACGTATATAACGATCAGACAATGAGTGATGAGATGACAGAGATGTGACAGTGGTGCTATCTAGTGAACCTAACTGCGATCTCCACCTCGCCTGCATGCCAAGCTTGGTTTGATTATCAGAGAGTGCTGCCATCTCTTTCAAATGTGTAGTCCTTATGAGACCCGCGGTAGGAGTACGGCTGGCGACAAAAGTATTCAACGCACACGACTTGGACCTATGTAACATATTTCGTAATGTATGTCCTAGAAATTGGCTGTGACACCAAATATTGCAAGACAATCACAATATAGTATGTCCTTCACACTACTGACACTGAAACCTAGAGCTGTTTCAAACAATGCAATTAATTACGAAATCTAGCTAATTAGGTAGCGACATTTTACGTGTATTGAATTTGGGTTAACCGAATTCAATTATTTATGAGCATTTTATTTGAGCGTCGCGCCACCATATTGTGACGGCAAAGCAGAGTACCTCACATGTCACATCACATCATATATCAACAGCAACAGTCTCTTCTCACACGGGGAAAGTTTTTTTTTAATGGGGGAAAATCATCGAATGCTCCCGCCTGGGTGAGGCGGGAGGGGCGGGAGGGGCTCCGGCTCGACGTGCAGGAAGGAACGGGGTGGTTTTTAGTCAGTAAGAGTCTGATACTCCCTTCCGCCTCACCCAGGCGGGAGCAGTCATTCGATGATTTTCCCCCCTTAAAAAAAAAAAGGTTCTCGGCGACACACGGAGAAGGTTGAAGCACTAATTACCACTCTCCCTTAAGGCAGATTGGCAATTTCAAACTTATAATTAGGTATTATAAGCCCAGCTTTCTTGTTTCATCGTTAACAGAGTAACCTAAAATACCTACATTATTTTGCCTTCACACCGCCTCTTTTTTCCGAATGCATGCCATAAGAACCAACGATGGCGGCAGCGCTCTCTGATAAAAAAAGAATCCATAATAGCCACTGATTTGTTTGCTACTTGTTATACCCAATATTATAACAACCCGGACTTTTTAATATCTCATTTAAAATCATTGCATGTATTCTTACGCGGTATCTGATGGGTGAATACATGATATAAATACAAATTGTGTGGACTAATTGCTACTGCGGTGAGTCACATTGGCCTTCAAAAACCTCAGTAACTGAGATGTTCAATATTTTTTAAATAAAATAATGTTATAGGTACCTAGTAAGTACAAATACTGTCGTCACATCTGTCTCAAAGGTAGACAACATGCGGTAGGCGGTGGACTTTAACCACCGCGGTTTCGTTCCAGTGCATCCGATGCCCAAATCTCTTATCATCCATCAACAGGATAATATACCCACCTAAGTTTTCCATTTGTTTCCAGATGATCGTGGCAGAAGCTTGGAAAGCCAGCTACCTCTACTGGGTCTTTCCAGTTCTGATTGTCGCTACAGTATTCGCGATTCTTGGTCTTTTCGGAGTCATATTCGCGATCAGATTGTTCGCTAAATATACCTGTGGGAGATTCCGAAAGACCACGAGAATGGATGGAAAGACCGTAATTGTTACTGGCTGTACTGGTGGCATTGGGAAGGAGACGGCAAGAGACCTGGCTAAAAGAGGAGCTAGGGTTATCATGGCGTGCAGGAACCTGGAGGTAGCTGAGAAAGTTAAAGGTAATTTGTCATTTTTTCTATTCTTTGGCGGAAATGTTAAACTGTTGCGCAGAATGTTTGATACAGCTGTTTATGCCTACATACAGCTGTTTGTACCTACCTACTGCATTAATGTTAGTTTTTTTTTTTTTTTTTTTTTTTTTTTTTTTTTTTTTTTTTTTTAAAAAAAACGTTACCCCACACTAGGATTATCTCCTGTGTCGTGGGTGCGTTTACAAACATACAAGTTCACATACACATGACACCCAGACCCGAAACAACAATTTGTGGATCACACAAAGTGTTGTTCCGTGCGGGAATCGAACCCGCGACACGTTGCACGGCAGCCGGTTGCCCAGCCACCGCACCAACCGTGCAGTCAAAGTCAGTTTAAAAGGCCATAACTGAATTAAATTAAAGGGTGCATATTTAAAATTAAACATCAAGGTCGTTGGGGTCACGTTCTACTTTATGTCTTTCTTATTCCGAAATGAATAAAGAAAAGTAAAATTACTTACATCCAAATTCTCATTTTCCAGACGAGATCATCGACTCCACAAAGAACACACAAGTAATAGTCAAGAAACTGGACCTCAGCTCCTTCGCTTCCGTCCGCGAATTCGCAGCAGACATCAACAAGACTGAACCAAAGCTAGACGTCCTAGTCCACAACGCAGGGTACGCAGACACCTTCAAGAAGAGAAAGACTGTAGATGACCTTGAGATGACCATGGAAACCAACCATTACGGACCTTTTCTTCTAACCCATCTTCTAATAGACTTACTGAAGAAAAGCGCTCCATCCAGAATAGTCGTTGTAGCATCTTCGCTGTACCGTCTTGCGTCCTTCAACATTGATAACCCAAACCCCGTTGACACCATACCAGGATACCTTTACTACGCTTCTAAAGAAGCCAACATACTCTTCACCAGAGAATTATCACGAAGACTAGAAGGTACTGGAGTGACTGTAAACTGCCTTCATCCAGGGTTGATAGAAACTGGGATCTGGAGCTCAGTTCCACCTCCATTGAACTGGATGCTGTTCCCTATCATCAAATTCTTCTTCAAGACTCCGAAACAAGGATGCCAGACTACGGTTATGTTAGCAGTTGATGAGCAACTGGAGAAGGTTTCAGGGAAATATTTTTCTGATTGTAGAGAGAGTTCATTGTCGAGTTCAGTAAGTAATATGAGTAGAGCTAAGAAGGTTTGGGAGGTGTCTGAGAGGATGGTCAAGTTGGGTGAGGATGACCCGAGGATTTAGTCAAAATCGTTTCAATTTCCAATGGTTTGTGGGAGAACTTAGTGAATCGAGACGTAAGGACTGAATTTCTGTTTTGCCAATAATTTGAAAAAATAGAACTCTTTGAAATTATTCAGTTTCATTCCTTGTGTACGTATTCACTATGTTTAACGTTTAACAATATTTATTGAAGAAAATTTACTTTGTGGGCTGTTTGTAGCCCATAGAATACTTCTTGAGCTAAAAACAATTAGTTTTCAACTTCTGAATGAAGAATGTATTTTAACATACAAAATAATGGCCAAGCTACATAAATCAATTTTAACTTCTAAATAGTCACTATCTAGCAGATAAATTGGTTCTATATTACCATGAAATGTTGATAACTTTCGTGAGACATACTAAATTAATTATTATGTTTTCGGCTTGCTCACGTAACTGTTTGACGAAGAACTAGACTTGTTATCAAGCCATGCTAGAGGACGATAGAAGAAGCGCGACAGTCGCCACGTCGCGTGTCGCGGAATACTGCTCAGGAGTATGTCCGTCATCGTTTCTATCATATCGAGGGGTAACGGACTATTTGGTTAAAGCGACATTTTGGGCGATATTGAGTTATTATATATATTCGACGGAGAAAAATTCGCTGATTCCGAATATATCCGTTACCCCTCGATATAATCTTATCAGAGACTTGTGAAACTATCTCTTAAAATAAAGTTGTATACAGCTAAGCTTAGCTTTCGATAGTCACATTATAAAATGTTAGTCGCTTGCTGTTGCTATTTGGAAAATGTACTTTAACATGTAAAGTATAGTGTTATTTTTGTATTTTATGTATCTTTCATTTGTAAGAGATTAACCTGGAAATGAAAATAGCAATACGAAACTGGAGTTAGAAATAAAACATATCTTAAACTTAAAAGTAATTTAATATTTGAAAAAATATTGATGTGTTTGTTACATCGATACACATTGTAAGATATAACTATCACTATGTCTTATACTAGAACAATATCGTACACGATCATTCAAATGGGTTCCTAGCACCTTATATGATAGACAAAGAAACAAACTAACATAAATTTAATGTTTAAAAACTGCTTTTTATTACGTCTAACTACTAAAACTGTCAAAGATTGTATCCTTTAGCCAAACGCCACTTTAGCGCTTGTCTACAGAGAGAGTAGAAATCAAAATGTATGGGGATGATACTGACAAGTGTCAAAATTTACGTCATTTCCATATAATTTAGTTTTCTACTCTACAAGTAGAGCGCTAAATGGCATTTGGCTACAGCTGCAGGAGTGTCCAATCTAAAATTTGGTAGAATGGATTGGATATGAATGTGTTGTAAAAATTCTAATTAAAAAGTCAAAACAAGTATGTCAGTACAAAAGTACAAAGCTGTAACAAAAAGGTACTAACTTATGAACCGAAAACTTCAATGACCTAAATATGGTGAAACTTTTGTAACACTATAAGCAGTTTTAAACTGCTCAGTACTTCATTACCATTAAACTGTCAAACACCAAGCGGTCACCGGTGACCGCAACCTATAGTTCTTTAATTGTGTCTATAAATACGGTACTCGACGAGTTAAAATGTAGTTTAACTTCTATCACCCTTCTGAACGATCGTCCACGATCCTTAGTAAAACTCTATCTTATTCAATCCTCATCCATAGGCTGTTCCTCATCTCTTTCCTTCTTCTTCTTCTTTTTCTTTTTCTTCTTAGCGCTGGCATCAGCATCCACAGCCTGCTGCAGTTCATCTAACGCTTCCTTCATTACTTCGATGTTCTTCTTAGGAATGTCACCGGTCTCATAGAATTTGAGACGGTCTTCAACTTGCTGGCGGAGTTTCTCACCAAATACGGATGATTGGATTTCTAGGAGAACAAAGTTAGGTTTAATTTTGAGTTTTGTAGCTTGAGAAGTGTTTTGAGTATGTGGAATGGGATAATGTAGCAAGCTAAGGGCCTATTTTTCAATCATCTGTTAATTCTTAACTATAGACTAAAATTGACATTTGACAGTTTTTATTATGGAGGAATTGACAAATATTCAAAGTTATTCTGATCTGATTATACTGAATTTTGTGTGTGAAGATATAGGTATAGAGCAATTAAAGATTTATTCTTTATTGGCTCTTCTCGTTTTAATTTCTTTTTTTTAAAGGTTACATATTAAATACATTTCAACCAGCATTGAGCAAGCGTGATGACGACCTTTGATGATGATGATGATGATGATGATAAAATAAATAATTAAATAAGCATTATGTATATCCTATAGTTAGATCATTATTGAAGGTTTTAGTGTAGTATACCTATTTGAGGGCGTTTCTGTTCTCCGTGGCTAGTCATGGAAACCAGTAATTGGATTGTTGCATGTTACATTCTTTTTAATAAAGTTGTAAAATAAATAAATAATTTATTAGATAGGAACTGTAGTATCTTACCAGAGAAGCAGTCGATCCTGGATGCGATAGAGCACTTGTTGGCGAGGTACCGACTGATGCGTCCCTTGTTCTTCAGTCCCGCGCGACCGATGAACGTCGAGTGATACAGCAGGCCGTACTTGGGCGTGTTCGAACGAGTCTTCAACGCACGGAACAGAGCCTTCTCGGCACCTGGTGATGGAACACATTTTATTAGTAAGTTGAAAGCGTGAACGGAAATTGAAGTACTTTAGTGATTGTGTGTGATCTGATGACCAAAATGTTATGTAATTTTTAATAGCCAAATCTATAAACAAAATAAACTATTCGAAAGTAAAGAAATATTTTTTATGCAAAATACGTAATTTTTATGATATAACATCATGCCTTTTTATCTCTGAAGGGGTAGACTAGTAGGCATTCATCAGGCAGGCAAGTATATGTTATAAAAAATATAAATTGTAGTGACTGATAGTTCAGTCACTACAAATTCTAACTATAGTTAGTTAAGCGTAGACTTAAAATTGAATGGAGTTTAAGTATTTGGACATAGACTCCTACTGACAAGAAACAACACCATTCTTATTCCTGCGCTATGTCTAAAAAAACATTGACGTTAGTAGATCTGATGTAATATTTAAACATACCCAAAATCTGCAGTGTAGAGGCCGGGTACTTGGCGAGGCTGGTGAGTGAACCGGCCTTGGATATGAGTCGGGCGCCGACCTGGTCTCCGACGAGGGTTGTCAGGTTCGGGGCCACAGATTCCATCTTAGTGTGCAGGTACTCTGATATCTGCTTTCTGTAATGAATATGACAGTATAGTTTACTATCTAAAATTAAAAATTTTACTACGATTTTCTTATATTTGGTGGGCGATATAACACTTTTACATATACTATCATATTTGGAGATTCAAAATAGCAATTTGATGACTAGTTTTTACAAATACTGACAAATAGTTTTTATAATAATAGTGGCAAGGATTCTGGAAAAGTGTTAAGTACTGTATTTTTGGCAACAAGTTTGTTAATTTGGTTGTATTTTTCCAGCATTTATGCAAGCCATAATCTAAAGTTAGTGACATTTAGTATAATTGGTTAAAAAATCATGTTATTTATGTACAATTTTCAGAATAACAACGTACCTATAATTACTGAGTCCAACTACTCTGCCGGCGAACATCTGAATATTAATCAAGTCTACAGGAGAGATGTCCATGCCCATAGACATTTTGGATGCATCGATAATAGCCTGGGCCTTCTCAGAGTCTCCGAGGATCTCCGTCAAAGGTTCCACTGACTCATCGCTCAATGATTTCCTGTCCTTAATGAATTCTGCGCACTTGGTGTACAGCTGGTTCTCTGGCACAATATTGATCAGCTCCGGGAAGTGGTAGGAGTACCATTCTCTGTGAAAAAATGAGTTTTGGCTATAAAAATGAGTTTTTATTTTCTTTCTATCAAAGAAGTAGACGAATTTGTGTTTCAAAAGAGCTGGCTACGCACTAGTAACTCTTTTTAATTTTTTCTGGATTTTCCAAGAGCAGTGCATAAAGAATCTGTAGAAAACTTCACAAGTTCTTGCAAATACTTTAGTTTTCTTAATAGGTATCTAGTATAAACTCTGAAATGTTATTCCCTTACCTGATCCTCATAGAAAACGTGTTGATATCTTTGTCGAGCTGGTCAAGTAGCGCTATGGACTGGATGATCATATTGTCTACTCGGTGCACGTTGAACTTGACTCTGGCACGTGAGTATGAGTGGCCTAAACCGAGCTGCGCTACGCTGCATGCCTTCAGAGTTAGACCTTTGATGAGGGCGTGGAAGTGGTGACGGATACCTGTTGACGACGATGAAAACATTACAAAGGTTTTCAATGAAAACAAAAGTTACAATCAAGATTGATTTATCAGTTTGTGTAATCACTACATAGTATAAAACAAAGTCGCTATCCGCCGTCTGTCTGTCCCTATGTATGCTTAGATCTTTAAAACTACGCAACGGATTTTGATGTGGTTTTTTTTATTAAATACATATATATTGCACCCGTGCAAAGCCGGGGCGGGTTGCTAGTTATGAATATAACTGTGATCTGATAAATGTAGCAGATAATTTCATACACATTACACTTATAATTAGAGTACATGTGTGGATACTACTGCATTCACTATAGCACTGCTGTTATTACCACAAATGCAGGAAACACTTGCAATAGATCAAAGCGTGCATAATATTTCAAAATTACAATTAAGATGTATTTTATTTTACTGTCTTTGAAGAACATATTTGTAGCAGAGATACACGAAGTTATGTGACAAGGTGTTCTATACCTCAGCGAAAATAAATATTAAATCTTCACAAAATATAACAAATAAAGGTTACATTTGGTTGTGAATCTATAGAATTTAAAAATTTCTTTATGTGGCTACTAAAGTTGTTACCGCTCTCTATTAATTCCATTATAAACCTTATTTCCGATGTTTAGAGACTAGTTTTGTATGAACAAATTTTCGGTATGATATATCAACATAGTAAGTTCTCCATGGTACCTTTTAGGTGACCTCCATGTAAGAAGAGTTGAGCTTTTCGCAGCAGTAGGACAGTTACAGAATGATATTAATTATGAACTTATACTAATTGCTAATATACAATTTTTGGCCTACAAACCTCTGAGTATCTCGGGAACAGCACCAGTGTGTGAGCATGGGATCTCCAGAGCCTCGCTGATGGCAGCCCCTAGTTTGGGGTCCAACACACCCAGAGTGCATTTGCTGCGCTTCTTGCGCTTTGGAAGCGCTCCCTCCAGGAATAAGTTCAGGTCTTCGGGTACAATACCTGTTTCATAAAAATTATTTGTTATTATTATGGTATTTTTTGGCTATATCGCTTTGAGTAAAAATTGTGATGAATTGTTTATAAATATGCTGTCTCTTGTGCATAATAAATAATAACAGAATAATGCTAACTTCGAGAAAAAGATTAGTTCTAGAAATAAGATATAGCATCTTGCAACGTGATAAGAAATTTAGAACATAATGTTTTCATTTTTATGAAATAACCACACAACTTCGTAAAAAGTTCAGTTAAACCAACAATGTGTATTTTAGAGCATTTTGGGGTGAAATATTGACACAAACGACTAATAGACGTGTCGTGTGGTCTTTATCAATGAACACGCGGAGCACTAACCTTCGGATATAGCGTTAATATTTTCCAACGCTACCACAGCAGATTTGAATGGCTGGAATGCGCTCAACGTCACAACAGAGTTGAATCGCTGTAAGTCAGTCACAGACTCCTCGACTTGAGGCAAAAATGCCGCAAGTTCTTCAAATTCGGCAACTTTGAACAGGGCGAACCCCGCACTGTGTTCATACAACACATATAATTTACTCTGAAATAACATAAAACTTTATCACTTATACCTGCCACACGTTTTAATCAAATCAAATAAAAATATTACGCACCATTTTTGATTATTTCACTTCAATTTATTTTCATTTTTTGGGGAGAAACAAACACGTGAGTTTTGTTTGCTACCCCGCTCACGAAATGTTTTAGAGAGGTTATAAGTTCCGTGTCACGTAATGAATTAGACAAGAACAAGGCCACAGAGCATGTAGGCATAGGTAATGTAGCCCGCAACCACAGAGCATGTAATTATACCCGCAACCTGCGCGACCAGTAAAAGGAAAGTAATATTAGTGTTGCTAGTTAAATATTTTATTTTAAATGAAAACTATTCAACATTTGCTATTAAAAGTAGATTTGATAATCATAATTGGATATTAAAAATAAATAACAATGATTTATTTTATCGACGTACAATATTATTTACGTACAATGAAACGGAGCGTTGTCTTCACCATAGTGTTGGACCCATTAATAGCAACTCATTAGTATTTTTAAGAATGAAACAATATCTACTTACTAATTTCATTAAATTATACAGTACTATTAAAAGATGTAGATGAGTAATGAGTGACAAGAATTAAAAAGGGAATGTTATACATGTAGAAAGAATGGATGAAAAAAGAGTAACGATAAAAATATAGGTACATACATAGCGGATATGAATATGGCCGACGGTAAAGGTAAAAATAGTTTCTGCCTACCTCCATGGGGGACTGGCGTGAAATTATTATGTATGTACATATATACTATCGAGAAAGTCAACCTAATTTTTATTATTCTATACTTTCTTGTGCTATTATTTACCACCAAAATATTTTTGGCGTACTGTTTTCATGTTTTTTGGAGTACGATCTAATAAATATCGTTATATGACGTATTGTTTGAAATTTATGTTTTATAATTTTTTTCTATAATATTAAAAAAACTTACTTCAAACCCCTCTTTTTGGAATTCGATTGATTAATTTACTTTAAACCTTCTCCTCAAAATCAATTCAGCCAATCGCGAGATAATCGCGCACAAATAAACATACCAGGTTCTTAGTTCTCTCACCTCTTTTATATTTTTTTGAAGTCGGTTATAAATCAAAACACTTCTTTATTTTTGACAATATCGATCAATAATTATTACGAAAGTTATATTTATTTTTTAATATACCTAAAGTTTGGACTCCATCTTAGTTTTGGCTGCTAATACACTTTTATTTTAGTAACAATTTTTAGTCTGTTTCTGTACAACACTACGTGGCGTCAACGGAAAAATTTGACATTTCAATTTGAAATTCTCCCAGGGGAAGTTGCGTACGGGTTTGTTGTTATTCGTGGTGATATTGAATAATCTATTTTAAATGTGGACTAAAACTGGACACGATGTGTAAAGTGATGTGAAAACTCTAAATATTGAGTTTATAAGTGCATCTATGTGAAAACACGGTGTTAAAATGGCTACAATTATGATACAAAGAGACCTTGTTGTCTCGTTCAAGAAAGAGACTATTTTGAACGTGGGAATACTCAGTAAGCTGCAGCAAATGCCTTCGGAGCTTAGCAGATTGATATTTAAGGAAAATGCTTTAGAAAAACCGACTCAGAGTTTGTTTAATCACCTGTCCTATTATTTGGTATCAATAATCGATAATCAGGTGTGCAGTACACTGCCGTGGCCGCTGTACGACACAAAGACTGAGAGAGCGTACCGGAACGAGCTCTCTAACTTCATCACAGACTACAGCAATAAGGGTTTACTGTCTCCAGTCATGTCTTCCTACTTGGTGAACCCTGGGTGCTACAAGGTGACCATGCTAATATTCCAAATGTCTCAACTGGCTGTCCAAAGAGTTGTACAAACGAAAATGATCAATGATTCACAAAGAAAACTCTATGACAACATGACTGAAGATTACAAATCACACAAAGATGGTTTTATAGAGAATATTGAAAAAGAAACTGTGTCCATGTCCAACAAGTTCTCCAATTATTTATGCAAAAGAGCAGCGATGGAGAAGATAGCTGAAATGTTCCGTAAGAAGATTGTAGAAATGGAGAATAAAATGTCAGAGTTACATGCACAGAAATATTTAGATGATATTGTTGATGGATATTTGAAAACGCACAAAGTTGATGATGCAACAAAAAAAGAAATATTAAACATTAAGGATGTTCATAAACCAGCAAAGTTCTTTGACGACTGGTTGGTGGAAACAGATAAAAAAATAACAGAATTAGAAGAGGAATGGGATTTGAAAATGAAACCGTTTCTGCAAAAATGTATAGATACTAGAAACAGTAGCGAAATGTTAATAGCGAGACAAACAGGTGAAGCAGAAAGGAGTTCTTACACTCTAGAATACAATCCTAAAACCGATGACATTTGTACAAAAGAACTAGAAAATCAAGTAAACAGTGAACAGAGGTATATTCTGAAAAACATAACGAAAGATGACAAATTATGTTTTCCAAATCTTATCCGAGCTTTCCTCATTTCAATATGTTTTATACTGAAAAATGCTGAAATAGGAGATGAGGTATATAAGTTCAATCAGTATTTGGATGGAGGGAAAAGGAACTTAGCGGAGATTGTGTCCGCAATGCGAGTCCTTATGGAAAGGGTGATGACTGCTGAAGCTAGACTACAGGTACAATTTTATAAATGCTAGTATACTTACTTTTATCTAGTACAATTTATTTCCTTTATGGCTAAGGGTTGTTTAATGTAATGTGTAATATAATGTAAAAGATTCTTATTATTATTTTTTCTCTCCCTTAATTTAAGGTATTTTAAGATCAAAATATCAAGTACTTCTTAACATTTTCAGTTATTGTTGAAAGTCAAAAAGTCATTGTATGTTTACTAATTTATATTTTTTATATTTTTCAGCCATCAGAATCATCATACAATCAGTCAATATCTCTCAAGGAATTTTCGGAAATACCACCTTTACCTGACTTATCAGATTTGAAGATGGGCAAAGACCTGCAATCTCAAGTTATATTTGACAACTTCACTCCTCTTAACATTTCGAAACATCAGTTCAATTTGCGAAGAAGAGTGCAGTCTTTTGTCAAACCCCCGTCGCGTTCAATGCTCATCGCGCCGTTCTACCAAGGACCAAAAGACGACTTCCTGAAAAGCCTCATATCATGCAGATTCAGTTCCTATGACCGGCCAAATACAACACAAAACTTAAACATGTCCATAATACCTCAAGCTAACCATAGAAATAATGAAACCATAGCTGAATGCTCGTCTGGTTTCACCAAACAGCAAATAATGAGGTTGCTATCAACAAAAAAGTCCAGCAGCTCCAAAAAGTTTAAATATAAGACTGAAAGACCAGACATTCAAGTGAAGAAAGGAGGTTTGTTCAATGAGTCGGTAGTGTCTAATGACAATGCTTTATACAGAAGTCATTCATCACCTAATCTCTTCGAAAACAGAGAAAAACGGTCAAAGATTCCTATTCCTCGGAAGCTCTCTATTATGCAAGAAGACTGTCCAATTCTGGAAGTTTCTGGTATCTCAGTGTTGGAGAAAGATAATAGTTTTGGCACTCCTGAGGGTGTGCCTCGGTTAGAGAGTACACGGAAAATATTCGACGCTACAAGCTTGCCTGCTATTACTGTAACCCCTGAACCAGAAAAGGTTATTACAGAGAAGGAAGACTCAAATAAGGTACATTTTGCAGAACTAAATGTACCAAAACTGCAGGAAAATATACTGGAAGAATGTAAGACTGAAACTCCAAAAACTAATACACAATTGATTAGGAAAACTAGTTCGTTAGAGAAGATTATAAATAGGTTTAAAAAAGTAAGGGCCAGTGTGTTGCCCATTGACAAAAGTAATGAAGAAATTAATGAATTCAAAACCATTGCAGAAGAAAAAGAAAATCTAAATACAGTTAATGTAGATGTATTTACAGCAAATAGGGTCTTATTACCTGACCTATTAGGTCCAAGTTGTAGTGTAATACCGCAGAAGTTAACTGAAGATTATTTGGAAGAATTGTGCTTTGATAATGAGACTCCTTGCAGAAAACCGCGGGAAAGTCTAGGCACCGCCCTAGGAGTTGACAATACATTTTTAGACCAGTTTGATTTGATAGACTAATAACCTATAAGTTGTAATGAAAAGTCCAGTATTTTCAAAATAATAAATGTACTAGTAATAAAGTTTATTATAAAATCTACTGCAGATATTTTATATTATAATTATGATAAATAGTAAATAGTTAACTTTTACTTATCTAACCTAACTTGCCTTAAGAAAATACGATTGCTGCACAAATATTATACTTGTTGTGTTAAGTATGCCCTAAATGAAATCTCAACTTTTTAATGAAGTATCTGAAAAATAAAGTACCATTAAAATAGTACTTTGGAGGCAAAGTGTTTGATGTAAGAGACTCTTAGGATCCTTCCCCGAAAGTGCAAAACCTATGTTTAGGACAGGCCTAAAAGACTACTACATTTTCTTAGTCAGCGTGGATAACGTCAGCATTTTATGTGGATTCATATGGGCACCACATAAGATTATGATGACGTGGCGAAAAAGTAATTTATTATGAATTCGATTTGTGTTCACATAATATAGTCTATTTTAAATCTTCTCTGAGCTTTAATATGTTTTAGTTGCTTCTGTAAATCAAGTTTTTACAAACTTTAAAATGAAACGCTTTTTAGCTAAAGTAATAAAGTACGTTATATGTAGATGTTTAGCTGTTAACTGTTGTCCATGTAACTAGTTTTACTAATAAAATAACGTTCATGTATATCAATAGTTTTTTTTTATTCTTATCCGAAGTCTACCAGTCGTTCATTGTTGTCAGGCCGTTTTCGTCCACGGCGTAAGAGCTGAAGGTCGAGCTTAGTGGTGTATATCTTTATCTTAATCAGTAAAACGGGTGAATAGAATTTGAGGGGTTATACATTGGGGAAAACGTTCTAACACCTATTCACCCCATTTCTATAACCACATATTCACTTTTTGAATTCTATTCATGATCTAATAATTGCAGATCTATGGCGTGGTGAAGAAATGCCACGAAAAATTAAACACGAAACAAACAATATACATATTTATTAGCACTTTTCCTTACATATAAAGAACATTTAGTAGTATAAACTACCCAGTAATAGCTAATTGCTGTCCACAATTGATTTTAACATTAATATTAACACAAGCTAGCTGTGTTACAAAGAATTTGAAGATGTATGGTATGGCAATAGAGACGAGATTGCCTTCCCCACACAATCTACATGTGTCCTTATTCGTTTCGCTCTTGCCAACTATTGGACCCAATAGAGTACCGCATTTTGAGCATAGCACCGCCTGGAAAATAAAATAAGTGTTATATAAACATTGAAACACAATTATTTGTTCATTGAATGACCAAAAGCGAGAAAACATCTAGATTTTTTTTAATTGTAAAAATTATCACTTAAATCTGAACATACACAGGGACAAAGAATCTGGACCAAACAAAAAAGTGATAATAATCGATTTTGTTGTCCTATATCAGTCTTTCAAGTACTAAGTGTTTATAAATGAGTTTACTTTCATTTAAATACATTGCCCAAACATGTTTTCTAACGTTTTCTACATACAAAAAGGATTTGAAACTGGCAAGATTTAAAATAACTAACAAAACATACGACTTTTCTGATAAAAGAGACCTAAATGAAAGAACATTTACCTCAGTCTTATCCGAGCAATGGAACAATCGATCATGCAGTAAGAATGCGGCGCCATGCGAGGCGAGCGCGTCCCTTTCCATCTCCCCGAGGCGGACTCCACCGCCGCGCCGCCGGCCCTTCACCGGCTGACGGGTAAGCGCGTCCACTGCACCCGTTGTACGGACCTACGGTGGGATTACATAGTTACACAAATGCTACAAGTATGGAACAACGCACAAAAATATTGCATACAGAAAATCCTCTTAATATTTCGCAAGGATTTAATATCTGTTTTTTTGTCCCTTAATAATAAATACATAAAAAAAGGAGTGGAAAGTGGGGCCCAAGAAACTTTAAAAATCATGTAACAGAGTGCGATGAAGCACAACCAAATAAGACTTACAAAAAACGTATAATACTGTGCACAACCGAGTAATCGTATCCAAGACCTTTAACCTCGGCACACACTTACATGTACACAACGATTAAAAATATTATCGAACATAACATATAACATAACATCACGCCTTTTTATCCCCGAAGGGGTAGGCAGAGGTGCACATTATACCATTGTACAATGTAACACCCACTTTTCACTATTTATGTTAGGAGTCCCATGTAATAGGGGGTGAGCCTATTGCCATATACCGGGCACAATTCCAGACTCCTTGCTACTACTGAGAATATTTAAAAACCCAGTAATATTTTGCCCGACCCGGGAATCGAACCCGAGACCCCTTGCCCGGCAGTCGCACTTACGACCACTCGTGAATATTATCGAAATAAAAATTATTTAAAACACGTTTCTTCTTCATACCTGCCACTTATCAGACACCATATGCCTGAGCCTCTGATAGTGAATGACTCCGAAGAATATATCGGCGTCCATCTCCCTCCCATCCACCCCGCTGTACATCCTCTCAGTGCCATAGTAATTGTACCCGGACGCCTCCAATAACCGGCCGAAGTAATTTATAGCTGTGTCCTTTTCGTTAAAACGGAATGGTGTCGCGTCGTGGACCTTTGAAAAGAAGATTATCAAAATCAAATGTAAAATGTGTCTTCATCATCATCATCAACAGCCTATAAATGCCCACTGCTGAGCAAAGCCTCTTCTCACACGGAGAAGGTTAGAGCATTAATCACCACGCTTGCTCAATGCTTCAAACTGATAATTAGAAATTATAAGTCCAGGTTTCCTCACGATGTTTTTCTTTCACCGTTTGTCAGTGGTGTCTAAATAATCTTAGAAAGTACATATAACTCGGAATAAGTCACAATGGTACTTGCCGTTGGTAGGTTTCGAACCCGCACCCTCATGCATGAGAAGTGGGCGTCTTAAACCTCCGGGCCACCACGACAATGTGTCTTAAGACCAAGTAAAAAAGGTATTTGATTGTGTCTGATTATTGCTAAACCCTGCCTGCCGGCTGCCAGCCTAGTTAACTGAAAAGTGGTGTTAATTCGAAATAACCTGTATTTTAGCAATCAAACAATAACGCATAATCTACAAGATATTGTACGGTTCAGTGTACTTAGGGTTGATTTTCAATCAACAGACAATGGTTATCTGAAGAATAAAATTGACATTTGACAATTTTTAGTATTGAAGAACTTTTAAAAATTCAATATTCTTCCTCTGATACAATTAATGTGGTGTTGTAAAAACCACCCCTTATTGGTCGCTACACAAATATATATTCGTGCATATTGTGCATAGCTTTAATCGATGTTAGCACTAGTCTGGACACTTTCTATTCTGTTCATATTGTTGCCTTATTGGAATAAAATAAGTCAAAAAGACTAAAAACGATACTAGCGCCACCAACTACAAAAAACTCCAATTAAAATAAATCAAGAATACTTACATGGCCATGTATGCTAGCGGCTTTACCAGCCATACACTCGATCATCATGGCGATTGTCATTCTGGAAGGAAACCCGTGAGGGTTGAACAAGATGTCAGGCACCAACCCTGACTCCGTGAACGGAAGGTCCTCGGCTGCCCACTTCTGAGAACAGATACCTTTCTGACCGGCCCGGGAAGCGAATTTGTCACCTACTGTTGGGTTTCGCTGTAAAAGAATAGAAGTTTGACTTAAGTTTATGTAAAAAAAGGGGTTCAAAGCATTTTATCTTCACTCTTGTGGTAAAGTGGTTTGCATAATTTGATCGATATGCATAATTTATTAAAAGTCAAAAGTTAAAATCATTTATTTCAATTAGACCAGGAAGGCACTTTTGAACGTCAAAACAAAATATTTAAATATTAAAAACTAAGAAAAAAATGTCAGTCTGTAGGTCAGTCCTCTAGTGAAGCTATTTGCTCGTTCCAAAGTGTAGATTCCTATGGAAAAGAACGAGCAAGAATATTAAATAATAATTAATTATGAAGATCGAAGTCTTGTAAAAATTTTAACAATATTAGCGTTATTTGCTGCGCATTATGTTCCCCGGTGAAGCTTGAAAGTAGTCTAGTTCAAGTTTACACATAGAATAGTGGAAGATGTTTATGGCTTCGATAATGTCTATGACCAAAGCCCCCAATGGCGCCCCATATCCTACATATCATATTTAATCGTTATGCAACACAGCTATAGGACTACACATAATTAATTATGTAAAGTAAGTATACCTCTATTTATATAACTGAAGAATTACATTAAAAATAAATAAATACCTGTAACCGCAGCATGACGCAGGCCTTTTTCAGCGGTCGAGAACTAAAGTCCCCGCATAGTCTGACGGAGTCCACGAACACTTCTTCCTTGCCGTGGTATTTGCTTACTACGAAAATACTTTTCTCACCGTCATAGTAACTGAGGATTGAAATAGCATATTTTTTATATGGCATAGCATATGAGCAGACGGATTATTTGATGGTAAGCAATTTGGCAGAGGCGCCGCCGGCATGGCATGCAGCATTCGCAACAAATCCCGCGGCCTTTTTGTCGGCCATGCCGCCGGCAGCGGGGTAACAGTTTGATCACGGCTTTCGATAAGAGTGGTATCGTTTCATATGGGTTGTGTAATATAGTGAATAAAATAACTGATTTCCATGACTTTCTGACATGAAAACTTCTTATTTCGTAAACTGGGTCTCATCCAAAATCTTCGATTGCTACTTTTTTTCATTTGATACAGAAGATTTGATGTAGGTACACCAAAATTGCGGCAGCAATTGCGATATTATCGCCCATTTTTGTCACCAGTACCGATCTGCTTACGCTTCCTACTTCACCGAAAGTCACAAGACACCTGAGAATATCGATTTACAGCCGCGCTTGCCGGCGGGCTGTGTGGATCCAGCATTAGAGAAGATACAAAGTATATTGCTGACATTTGGAGATTAGTATACTGAGACTGGAGATGCGCTGCGATGCCTCACTAACACGGGGCGCAACGAAACTCTCTGTTTGTTTCACGTCGGTTTGCTGCGAGTTTGTATTACTCCGGTTAAGCCGGACCACCAGTGCCGAAATATGGCTGACCCAGTTTTTATTACACAATAGTTTCCTTACCTATAGAACGGGTCATCCGGTTTAACCCTGGCTCCTACAGCCGGTAACCCATCCTCATCAATATGTTCAGCCAGGTCCGGTTTGCTGGGGTCCCTGTAGAAGTATGATGCAGGGTGGGCGAGCTCTATAAAGTCTGCTTTGTACACTGAGCCGGCTGCGAACCCGCGCTCATATGATGACTTGTTTATTATCATCGCGTCTTCCATATCGTAGCCCTGTGGACGGATACAATAATGAAAAACTTCAATTTGAGAAAGTGTCTTGTTAGTAAAAATAAGGTAGTTTCAAACCAGGTCTAATTCAATAGTTTTTTTCTATGTGAGACGACAGTACGTTGTGAAAAAATGAAAGACAAATGTTTTTAAAATCAAGTAGGTGAGTATATCGTTAAATGAATTAACACGTTAACCGCCGCGTAGGTCACCGGTGACCTACGTTAGCGGAGGATTTACCTTTAGCAGTTTTCTGTCGGCAGTCGAAGGCTTAATTAATGGAAGTGTGATTATTTTTTTAACATTTACTTCAATAAATTATTTAATTTTACCTGAGAAGACTACGCTATTTTTGCGTGAATCAAACAGATTGCGCAACCTCTGCGTTAAGGCGCTAACCGAAAACTATAGTAGACGTTTTTTAATTCATGTATTTTTAAATGAAAATACGTACCGTATAAGAAATAACAGCAACAATAGCATTAGTACCGCAGGGGTAGTCGTCGAGTCCAATATTGTCATAGTGGGTTGATCTAAACAGTGGCGTGGCAGGAGTCTGCAACCGATATAACTTGGTCTCTGCGTTGGTCTGCCATGTATGGATCGGGGTACCCATCGTCTGCTTACCCATTTGGCACTGGTACATGTTACTGTAACAAAATTAATCATTTATTTTTGTTATAACTCCGATGAGACATATTAAAATCTCTTTTTTGGAATCTGTTAATTAATATACTAAAACCTTGTCCTAATTGTAACAAACACTGTTTTGAAAAACGCATCAAACATACAGACATACAGGTCCAACTGGCAACATCCTTTTCTTTCGTTTTGAAGTAAAAGCTTTTTTTAGAGAGGGGAACATCACCCCATGACTGCTCCCGCCTGGGTGAGGCGGAAGGGAGTGTCAGACTCTTACTGACTAAAACCACCCCGTTCCTTCTCCTGCACGTCGAGCCGGAGCCCCGGTTACCCGTTAGGCCTTCTGCGGCTCAGTTATTGAAAACTTGGAAAAGAAAATGTTTCTGTTCGGTTTTCGGCATGGATGGATGAATATAAGTTCAGTTTTTTTAAATTAAAACTTTCATGAGACATACTAAATTAATTATTATGTTTCCGGCCTACTTATTAAGCGACACGCGCACAGTAGCCGCATCGCGGGTCGCGAAATGCTGCTCATGAATATGAGCCTCTAGCATGGCTTGAAACTAGTCGAGTTCCTCGTCAAATTACTACGTGAGTAAGCCGAAAACATAATAATTAAGTTCAGATTTAAGGGTCTTTTGCCGGAATACTGAACCGTTACTAAATTTTAAGTCGTGCTTAAATATCGTGCCATCTCTGTCATTTTATAAAGAATTTGTGTAGACAGAACTATACTTAAGCGCGACTTAAAATTGAGTAGCGTTTGAGTATTCCGACATTTGTTGTGTGCAACTGACCGTGGCGACTGGTTGCAGTCCGGCATGGGAACGAGCTGCGCCAGGTTGCTGAGGAACGCCGTCTGGGATAGCTCCACGTGGGTTGTTTTACCTGCAAATAATATTTTATATTATGAAACATTTGAGCATTATAATAAATGTCAATGACTGCCTCGTTGGTCGAGTGGTTGCAAGTGCGAATGCGGGCCAGCGGGCCTCCGGTTCGAGCAAAGTATTACTGGGTTTTAAAATAAATCTCAGTAGTAGCGCGGAGGAATTACGCCTGGTATATAGCATAAGTTCACACCCTATTACATGGGACTCATAACATGAATAATGAAAAGTGTGTGTTACGTTGTATAGTGGCATTAAATGCCGGAATGTGCAAAAAAAACCGTGATATTATCTTTATCTACTATATAAAAATAAGTCGGGTTTTCCTTCCTGACGCTATAACTCCAGAACGCACGAACCGATTTTCACGGTTTTGCATTCGTTGGAAAGGTCTCGGACTCCGTGAGGTTTATAGCAAAGAAAACCTTTATTCACCAAACGAAATGTTACATAAAACGAAGCCATCTGGTGGCGAAACGGAGTTCGCCGGGTTTGCTAGTGTTTAATAAATATCATATTAAATGTCACTATCAAACACAAACATAATTATTTCATTAGAACCAGTAGTTCGTAGTTCTTGCGATAAGGTCGTTCAAACAATAAAATTCTTCAGCTCTTCAAGATTTGTAGACATACCCTTAATGATCTCATTGTGTGTGACGGCGATGTCTAGATAGAGTTGTTCCATGGTGCCGATGAGCTCGAGCTGTCCGGTCGACAAGTTGATGACGGGCCGCATCATGCGAGCCTCGCTCGTGAACAGGAACACGCCCGCGTATTGAGAGCAGATCTGATACAAACACGAACAGTTACACGTCACGACGAACTATTTTGAGAAGTTTTTCTGCAGTAAATTGAGGTCTTACAGTTAGTAAAAGCTGATAAAAATTGTCAATAGAATTTTATAAAAGAGAAATTAAATAAATGTATGTTTTGATTTAATTGTGAGGCAATAATGAAAGTGGTTTTATTACTACTAACAGTGAATACAACCGCTAACTAAAACTTCGAAAGGTATTATAGGTGTTTTTTTTAAGGCGGAAAATAATCGCATGACTTCTCCCGCCTGGATGAGGCGGGAGGGAGTGTCAGACTCTTACTGACTAAAAACCACCCCGTTCCTACTCCTGCACTTCGAGCCGGAGCCCTGGTAACCCGTTAGGTTCTCCGCGACTCCGTATCGGCATCGGCCCTATTGGGCCCCATCCGTGGTGGTCTGATGGCTCTTTGAGGCGCGCGCGGTACGCTCGGCGCCGTACGCTCGGGTCTGTTTCTGGTCGGACGGGGAGCCACCCATGCTCGCCGTCCGCAGGCCCGCGCTTACGGTGGCCGGAGATCGTCCCGCGATCCCCGACGCCCGGTGTGTCCTTCGCGATGGCTGGGTTGCGAGGACGCGTCCCGCCTCCTCCTTAGCCAGCATGACTGCTTTGCAAAAGGGGGAGACGGCATCCCCGTCCCCCTCGCTCCGCATCATGACCCGCACAGGTGTTACAGGGCAAATGGCGTTCGGCAAGCGTGGAGATTATAGCAAAAGTATAAGGAAGAGGCCTATTATAATCCATGACATGAAACCATGTATGAACTAAAACAAAATAAGTGTAAACAATCAAACAAACCTGTTTCTTCGGTACGACGACAATTTCCATAGTTATGGGAACTTCTTCACCCTTGATCTTGAGCGTCCGGAGGTATGCAGCGGACTTGTCGATGGTGTCCTCGGCCAGGTAGCCCAGCAGGCGGCCGTCGGCCAGCACGGGGTACTTGTACACGTCGCGCGCCAGCGGGGTCTGGGACACCCAGCTTATGGGCTCCATACCTGCCAGGGACCACCGGGGTCATTCATTGGGTAGTTACATTCAAAAACGTAGACATCTCGACTTGTGAAAAACGATAGCTTTCTGCTGTCAATTTTGTATGAGATTGGGTATGTCATGTCTTTTGTGGCAAATAGCATACTTATTTAAAAATATGTAGAAAACGTCGAGCATTATTATACTGAGGGCCCAATTACCCCCCCCCCCTCCCTTTCCCCAATCCCTGAATCCTCAACAATCCTCAAACTCCGAATCCCCAAAAGGCCGGTAAAGCACTTATAACGCCTCTGGTGTTCCAGGTGTCCATGGGCGGCGCCGATTGCTTACCATCAGGTGATCCATCTGCTCGTTTAACGGCTTATGCCATAACAAAAAAAATAGTAACTTTAGGAAAGCATTTAGAATTCCTTGTACTTTCCCAGGGACTAATATTCTATATCAGTATGAAATTTCATCAAAACCAGTTCAGTAGTTTATGTGTAAAAGCGTAACAGATAGTTAACTCACCGCATCGTTCTAACACTTGTGGTAAGGCCGCTATTTGCTTCGGATCCGCGTGTTGTGTCACCTTGAAAAAAAATCAATGAATATTAAAAAGTTTGTCATTGAAAAAGACAAAAAGAAAACTTTAATGGCATAGTTATAAGGTTGGAAATATGGTAAAGAAAGAAGAGACTGGAGTAGTCCAAAGTACTGGTACTAAGCTTTTTTTACGATAATTTAATAGTTTACGTGGGGGGACTTTGCTTCGGTACAAATAGACCGGCTAACTGGAGCACGGTTTCTCAGAAAACCAGCGTGAAAAAAAATTGGTTGCCTGTAAAGTCGGTATACGGGCGAAAGTTTTACGTGACAACGACTTTGAGTGGTAAAATATTATGTCTGTCTCTCTCGCTCTTAGGCGGGCTAACCATGCCGGAGTGGAAGGGACGCGTGCCTCTCACTCGCTCTCATTGTGAGCGGAGCGTAACGCAGTTTCTTGAAGTGTCACCCGGCAAACCAATTTATAAGACGTTGTCACGTCAATAATACTTGCGTTATATTTCGCTATATGAGTGAGGACCTTAAGAACCTGTAACACCGCTGGTGTTGCCATGGCAGGAGCCAATGAAGGCAACCGGTTTTTTGCTGACCACATAAAGCTAGTGTGAACCTCTTGCCTTCTCGTCCAATAGGGGAATAGCTAGTGTCACACCATTGGCCATTCAATTACAGCTACAGTGATTGGACAAACCGACCTTCCTAAATTAGCGCCATCTGGTGGAGTTCAAAAAATAGTAAAAAGTGAAGAAATACCTGTGCAGTCATGGTGAGATGGTTGAGTAGTCCGCAGGGCGCGCCGTCCGGCGTGTGGACCGGACACACGAAGCCCCACGCGTCCGGCAACAACTGGCGCGCCTCCGTCGTACGCATCTCCATGAAGAACGAGCCGCGGTGGATCGATCTGTACACATTACAATACATACATAGGGAGACTATACATATATGGGGGGTAGGCAGAGACCATGGAACTCCAATGGTATTTTTGCCCATCAGAATGAACTTCCTCGAATAAGTACAATGGTGCATTAATAAACCGCATTGTTTAATTATGATTCAAGTTTATTTTTAGCTACATTAGATTCACGATAGGATTTATTTGGAAATTTTTAATGCATAAATTAATGAAACTGTTAATTAGTTTGTACATCAAAAATATTGTATTTCATTTAATGTTACTAGTAGCGACATCTAGTGTAAGATACGTCAGTTGTTTTGTCCTTTATGGCATTCTCCTTTCCTTTTCAATAAACTTTTTATTTTAGTTTGTGATTGGAACACAAACTTTGTAGTTTTATTTTAACAGAAACGATCAGTATAAGATGTATTTTTTTTTTTAATGGGGAAAAATCATCGAATGACTGCTCCCGCCTGGGTGAGGCGGAAGGGAGTGTCAGACTCTTACTGACTAAAAACCACCCCGTTCCTTCTCCTGCGTTCCTCCTCCGTCGAGCCGGAGCCCCGGTTACCCGTTAGGTTCTCCGCGACAGTATAAGATGTATTAGGGTCTAAAATAGCATATACATAGGATACGTCATTAAATAATTCTAGTAATTTCAGTACTAACTTGAAATGCGACATGTATCGCATCCGGTTGATGTTCTCAGCGACGATGGTGAGTCCCTTGTACTGGGCGAGCGTGACGTTGTTCGAGGGCGCGTTGCCCGTCGCCAGGAACGTCTCGAACTTCTGCTCCAAGTTACCGCAGGCACGGAGCATCTGCTGTACTTCGTGCTGAAATGGCAAAATGGTTAAATGCCTTAAATCTGAAATGGCTAAGAATGCACTCGTAACTCCTTCAGTGCTCCGTTTTAACAGTACCAAATTGAAATTGAATTGAAATATGTAAATGCTTTGACTTTGTTGGTCTAGTGTTGGTGTCAATGGGCGGCGCCGATTGCTTACCATCAGGTGATTCGTCAACCCGTTTATCACCATACCAAAATACTAAATAATGTTTTTATGAAACTCTAGATACTCCCACGCGATTTCACCCACTCTATTGATTGATGATTGTAGAGTGATGTTTTAAAGCAGAAAGAGTAGTTCAAATCGACCAGCAGTTTCGGAGATTGGTGCGTTCAAACAGACAAACAAACACTTCAGATTTGAATAATAATATAAGTATAAGATCAGATCATATACATACATACAAAAGACACATCACAACCACACACAGAACAATTTGCGCGTCACAAATAATAGAAGATTAAAGAATAATCTTATACTATTATATAAAGCGGAAGAGTTTATTTTTTTGCTTGTTTGTTTGAACGCGCTAATCTCCGTAACTACAAGTCTGATTTAAATAATTCTTTTTGTGTTGAATAGCCTATTTATCGAGGATGGCTATAGGCTATAAAACGCTATGACCAATAGGAGCTGAGCAGAGTGTGTGAAACTGCGTGGAAGTGGCAATTAATAAATAAAACTCACCACACCAATATCCAGTTTCTTGGAAGTTTTAGCTTTCCTTTGCACTTGTATCCTCAAGTTGGTCGTGATCTGCTGCAGCCTCTCCTTGAGGATCTGAAGGTAGAGGTGGCCACCCACCAACAACTCCTGGACCATCACAGCGTCTGCACCTTCCACCTGACAACCAACAGATTGGAGTCTTAAAACTGTTTAAGAACACACCGGTGTTTGGAAACCTATTACATTTCAACCACATTTCCTAGGTAAAAATTTCTTCGACAGAAACCCAAAAGGGTCTCCTCATCCTACTAAATGAGAGGGAGGAAAATTTTATTTCTCAAACTTCATTCAAACATTTTTTTGTAGTGTTCATGAATAAGAGTCCCAGAATGGCTTGAAACTAGTCAAGCGTTTCTCGAATCTTATAGTAAGTAAATAAATAAAAATAGAGGTATATATAATAATTCATGGCTTACCTTACACTTATTCTGAACCAAATCATATAACTTCTGTGCCATGAACACCAGCGCATTGAATTTATCCTTATGATCCTTCAGATGGATCATGACACATCGGTTGATGAGGAAATCTGCTGCATCCAAGTCGGTGGACCAGGGAGGTAAATCGTAGAGCTTGGGACGGAACATCCTCCCGAGGTACGAACGGCACTCGTGGGAGGAATGTAGACCCTCTTCGTGTAGCTCCCTCAGCATGTTCTGTATGCAGCTGTAAGACAAATTTAGTTTATGACTAGCTTTTACCCGCGGCTTCGCTCGCGTCACAAAAGGATAAAAAGTAGCCTATGTGACATATACCAATACACACAGCGCCATCTATACCAATAATTTCGCTTTCCCTCGAGAATATCAAATTTTTCCGGGATAAAAAGTACCCTATTATTTAATCCAGACTTCTAACTTCACGTCTGCAAAAATTCAAAGCAATCGGTTTAGTAGTTACGGCGCGAAAGTGGAACAAACAAACAAACTCACTTTCCGATTTATAATATTGGTAAGGATTAATCTACACTTGAAGAAAGTCTCGGAGAACCTAACGGGTAACCGGGGCTCCGGCTCGTGCAGGAGAAGGATTGGGGTGGTTTTTAGTCAGTAAGAGTCTGACACTCCCTCCTTACCCAGGCAGGAGCAGTCATACGATGATTTTCCCCCCTTAAAAAAATACTTAAAGAAAAGTTTGTTTCTTTGTTTTTTGTCTGTCTGTTTGTTTGTTTGACCGCGTTAATCTCCGGAACTACTGGATCGAATTGAATAATTCTTTTTATGTTGGATAGTTCATTTAAACAGGCTATAAAAATGCTACGATCAATTCGAATGCCGCTCATGAATATGAGCCTCTAACATGGCTTGAAACTAATTGAGTTCCCCGTCAAACAGTTACGTGAGTAAGGTGAAAACATAATAATTAAACCCATGTAAATAGATAATAAATAGCTATTTAATATGCAATTAAACTGTCAAACACCGGGGCATTCCACTTTGCGCACCTAAATGAAGCGCACCCAGACGAAGCGCACCTAAAGTATTCCACTTTGCGCACCTGTAGGTGCGCTTAAAATAAAAATTTTAAATAAATAGTTTTTCTATTCCACGAAGCGCACCTACGAATATCACTCGCATAGTGCGGAGACTAAGAAATAAAAATATCGATATAAGAACATATTTATTATTTAAAAGACTAACTTAAATACCTAACATCTGTCAGTTTCATTATAATAATGTGACACAATATTTGTCATTTTGATTTTGTAATCTTACTATTTAAAATCACAGATTGTTTCATAATTACAATAAAAACATGGACAAATATGAAAAAACATTGTAAATATGGTTTTACATAAAGATCTGTTGAAGTTTTCTTATAGCTACATGTTTAGTGAACAATAAAAATACTCTACTTTAACATAAAAAATCACAGATTGTTTCATAATTACAATAAAAACATGGACAAATATCAATATTGTGTCACATTATTATAATGAAACTGACAGATGTTAGGTATTTAAGTTAGTCTTTTAAATAATAAATATGTTCTTATATCGATATTTTTATTTCTTAGTCTCCGCACTATGCGAGTGATATTCGTAGGTGCACTTCGTGGAATAGAAAAACTATTTATTTAAAATTTTTATTTTAAGCGCACCTACAGGTGCGCAAAGTGGAATACTTTAGGTGCGCTTCGTCTGGGTGCGCTTCATTTGGGTGCGCAAAGTGGAATGCCCCCAAACACCAAGCGGTCACCGGTGACCGCAACCTATTGTTCTTTAGTTGTGTCTATAATGACAATACTCGACGAGTTAATTCTTGTAGTAATAAGATGTGGTTAATTGTAGTGTGTAACATAGGTATTAATAAATTGATCAGACGTATTGTACAAAAAATGTATTATAAGGGCACGGACCAAGAGTCCGTGGAGAATTAATAAGTAACATTATAAAAAAACTCCATTTTAAAATATTTCAGAACCAGAAAGTTTAGCGCGTTAATTCGTCTTTTTGTCAATAACGAGAAGTATTGATTTGAAGAAAGTCATTGAAGTTAATGAGTTGTTCATGGTTTCTGTGATAGTTCTTGAAACTGTGTAACAAACGAAGGAAACCCATATTGTGATGTGCGTGTTATTGAAAGACAGCATGGTAACATCAACACCAGCTCATAGTGATTCCACATAATAATATCCTCGCTGATAGTAACAACGTACTTACGGAGAGTGCCAACTGCTTAATGGCAGGATTTATTATACAGACACATTTGTACTCTGACTAAATTTTAACGTCCAGCACTAAATTGCATAAATTCCAAAACCAAACAAATTAATTTTAAAAATGACCATTGATAAACCAGGCCTATAGCTGAGCAGTTGCTGATGATGATGATGAAACTTACTTGACATAATACAGGTCGTTCTTCTTCCCATGTAGCAACAGCCTATATATGTAGTGGTCTGGCCAGTCGACCAGGCATTTCATGATGAGCAGGAGAGGGGCATAGTACATCATTTTACGGTAGGAGAACATCAGCTTACATGTACCGTTGTTTAGAAAGTGGAGTACGTTATTCTGGAAACAATATTACATTAATAGCTTTCTTTGTGACATCAATTGACTCCCTTCGCTTTGGGTGCGGTGAGAGGGAGTGTCAGACTCTTACTGACTAAATGCCACACCGTTTCTACTCCTGCTTCGAGGCTGGGCAGCGGTATCTTACGGTGGCTTTACTGCAATATTTTTTGGGTATAGAAAAGTCGAAGTACCTATTTACCTAATTTATCTTTGATCGTAGGAACTACATATAATTAGTTAATTTATGTATAAAGAGAATTAACAGCTACAACAAATGAATATCACAGTAAAAAAGCCAGTAAAACAAACATAGATACTGCCTCATTGACCGAGTGGTTGTAAGTGCGACTGCCAGGCAAAGGGTCTCGGGTTTAATTCCCTGGTTGAGCAAAGTATTACTGAGTTTTTTTTTAATAAAGTTCTTAGTAGTAGCACGGATTCTGGAATCGTGCCCGGTATATGACAATAGGCTCACCCCCTATTACAAGGGACTCATAATATAAATAGTAAATAGTGGGTGTAACATTGTAGAGTAACATTTAGTGCCGTAACGTGCACCTCTGCCTGCGTGGCAAGCCCTTCGAGGATTAAAAGGCGTGATGTTATGTTATGTAAAATAAACATACCGTACTAGTTTGATCTGAAGTGACACAGCGGACCATGATGCCGTAGTCTGAGAACAAGTTTCCTCTCATCCTCCACCCAGAACGTTTGATAGCAACGGGATAATTCCGTCTGGTCACCAACAACATACGGGCTAAACGTTCATGTCCCTGAAAAAGGAAGAACATGTTCCATGATAAATGAAATCTATATATATAAAAGAAAGTCGTGTTAGTTACACCACTTATAACTTAAGAACGGCAGAATAGATTTGGCTGAAAATTGGTAGGGAGGTAGCTTAGAGCCAGGAGACCGACATAGGATACTTTTTAACCAATACTTTTTTTTTACTTTTTACCGAAAATCACGAACGGGGACGGGAAAAAATGGGATTACGCGTACGAAGTCGCGGGCAGAAGCTAGTATTATAATAAAGTTTTGTCTATTTTCTTTTCATTTTGACACTACTGCTGATACTGAAAAAAAAAGTGACACAAGCTGGATTTATTATTTATGAAATAGGGAATGCAAATGTCGTCAGATTGGTGTATCACGTAAGATTTCGCCAAATTCAAAGTTATAGTAATATTATAAGTTATAGGCTATCTATATTTTTATTTTGCAAATAATCATAATATTTGAATAAGTAAGGAAATAATAACGAATAATAACGTAAGATAAACACTCCTTTTCACAATATATTCTCGAAAATTGGAACCAAAGACGTTACGCAGACGAAGCTAGTGGTTTACTACTTCTATTTGGACATACATAACTATCTAATAACAATTCAAAGAGGCAACTAGTCTTCTCATCGAATATGAAACAAAAAGTACAAAAATCCTTTAGTGAAACAATCTTTTACAGGTAAAACGAAGTAACTGTTTTACAGTACCTCGCAAGAGCTTGTAAATTTTTAGATCTCGCGAGATCGAGATTGCTTTCCCCATTCACGAATTATAAAGCAGAAATTGTCTTTACTCTTTATGTTATATTATTATTGTTTTGAATCGCATATGTTTTTTTTATTATTTTTGTATCTGTGTGCATGCCAATTGTCGAATAAATGCTTTATCTTTTTTTCTTTCAATCCATATTCAACAATATCATATAGTTGGACGAATGGAGTTTCTAGCTTCTTCTCCATTCGAATCTACTTTTTGGAATGAGCACCTAGCTTCACCTAGTTTCACTGACGGACTGACTGACAGACTATTATTTATTTTGTATTTGTTGACGTTTCAAAAGTACCAAACTATGGATTAATTGAAATAAATGCTTTGACTTTGACTTTAGTTTAAAATGGTTGACCAATGACTATCCAATTTGATACAATACACAGACATACCTTGACAATAAAGTATCCGCCCCATTCATCCGCATGTTCATTGTGTTGCACCAGCTCCTCCGGTGACAAATCCGCCAAGTGACACATTTTAGACTGTAAATAAAAACGTTTTTGTGAGTTTAAATAATTATAATAATATTATATTAATGATGATTTTCTGATTTCATCCTATACTCAAAATGGCTGATGGATTCGGAATGAAATTTGGAATAGATTAGTCGGTAGATTATGGTTTGGAATCACACATGGCTATTTATTATCCTACGGGAATGCAGGTGAAGCCACTGGAAGAAGCTAGTGTTATAAATGCAAAAGTTTGTATGTTTGTTTATTACTTCTTCACATCAAAACAGCTAAAGGGATTAAAATGAAATTTGGAACGGGGAGACTATTATAATCTACAATAACACATAGGCTAATTTTTATCTAGTTCAATCTATTGCTAGAATTGACTTGACTTTTTGCAGATTTAAAAGGCACATAGATAAAAGACTTTTGTGTAAGTGTGTTGTTGTGTTTTAATATTTGTTTTAACTTGTTATGAAATAACTTGTAAAATGTTGACTGAATTGATAATTAATAAAATTGCTGTAATCTGTAACTCGTCAATTATAATTTAGGAATAATAATTGCACACCTTGATTGGTGGAACATGGTGAACTGTGCATTCATCTAACACCTTGCAATGCATCTAAATGTACTGTGTTCAGCAATAATGATATATGATTTTGTATCTAGCAATAATAATAATCAAAGAAAAGTCAGCATTGTTTACAATAATTACTCACACCACTGTCTACTGTTTTCACCAAAAATAAGAGGCTGTAATATTATATCTCTGCCTAGTTTTAAAGTAGATGACTACTCACCTTCACCATTATAGGTAGAGATCCCAAAGACCTATCCACTGTGATTGATTTCTCATCAATTTTCAGTGTCAACCGGATTTTGAAATCTCCTTTGTAAGTAGCAGCACGCTGTCTGCACTCTGTTGGCAGTAGTATCTGGTTTTTAACGCCCACTGCTTCCATTGGAACGCTGGGTTTAGCAAACCCAGCTTCGTCAATAGTTATTTTCACCCTTTCTCCGCTAGGGAGTTCAAATTCAGCGGGCACCAAATCCGCAATCGCTGCTTGCAACCCATCTTGCAACATATAGTTGAAAGAATCAATGTGAGGCGCTCCGAGACATTGTAGATACTGGAAACATACAATACTATTAAAATCTTAACTGTTATAATAAATAAATAAGATGAAATAAATATTGCAAGAGGTTACGTACAGGATTTGCGATTTTCGGCGGTTTCCGATAGTCTGGGTTGCTTGTATAGGCCAAAGACGGGTTCTTGGCGATCTTCTTTGTATTCATTTTACTTTTATAATTCACATTTATACCTAAAAATTACAAAACAGTGTTTAAAACTGTGTTATTTATATTCACACTGTGGTAAAGCGCACTGTCCACACCACACGTGTTTTGAACTGTCAAACAAAATAAATTTTGCCGTCAGTCAGCCGTCTTATGTATTTGACAGTGCTAAATTTTCGACAGTTTCACACATCCATTTTGTTTATGGTTTTGATTCTGTGACCTAACTTCATTACAAACAAAACGGTACCTATTTCTATCTAGCTTATGGCAGGGTACGACCCGAAATATATCAAAGAAAATGATAATTATATTTCTTACTAAGGCATCTAGGCAAAGCCAGCTCGATGCTAAAGTTTCTTATTAAATTAAAATTAAAATTTAAAAGTCGTTTATTGTTACAAATATTTTACCTACAACTAGTTTCTGCCCGCGACTTCGTACGCGTAATTCCATTTTTTCCCGTCCCCGTTCGTGATTTTCGGTAAAAAGTAAAAATAAAATGTTGGTTAAAAATTATCCTATGTCGGTCTCCTGGCTCTAAGCTACCTCCCTACCAATTTTCAGCCAAATCTATTCTGCCGTTTTTGAGTTATAAGTGGTGTAACTAACATGACTTTCTTTTATATATATAGATAAGATAATATAAGATATTAACAGAAATGCCATACCTAATTACATGGACGCGTGTAAATTACGAACGATACTGAAATAGGTACTGCTTTCCAAACTAAGCTTGTCTTTTGCAAAACAGTGATTCAGTCATGGAGTATGTCACAAAGTTACATTACATGTCGCTCAATAATGAAGCGAATACTGTTGTTTGTTGCTTTTGTTGTTAAAAATTACTAATGACTTTAGCGACTCTAGCAAATAGTACCAATGAAAAGTGCTATATTGTGTTATTCAAGAAATGTTATGGTCTGGTATTATCGATTAAGAAAGACGTTCTTGCATATAATTACTTATTTTTCTGTTAGTCTTAATTCATCCACATTAATGGACTTCTTATTTCATCCAAGACCATCCATAAGGTCCTTAAATTCTGACATAGATGGACATGTCAGCAGAATATACGATGGTCATGTATTTAATATTTACTATTTAAGTCGCGGCTTAGATATTAGTAAACATAAAAAAAATAATACTTGTTTATTTTTACTGTATGTTATCGTGTTTTTAAAGTCCAATCGGTACTTTACACAATAATGAATAATCTTGAATACATTTACAGAATAATCTAGAAAAGAAATTAAAATGTTATCTTTATTAAAAACATAACTTTGTCTATGGAACATTATTTCTCTGCACTCTGGTTGGGTGATTCCCGCCTTTGGTAACTGATTTGTGCTAGTTTTCTGCCTCTTTCATTCCTGTACGAGCTTCCGAGGACATTATAGCGTTCAACTTCACTTCGCTCTCAGTATTTGCTGACATCAGTAGCATTCCTGAGTCTTAACTTGTGAAAATATGTGTCCTGATTCAGACCATTCCGGTGGAAAAAGAAAAAGTGAGTGTTATTTTATGTTCTTGTGTATTATTTTAATTGAAAATGCGCTAGGCTTTTGTTTTATTTAGAGTTATCAGTGATCGACGCCTACTTCAGTTTGTACCTAGTTATTAGTCACGTTCATTCTTGTTGAATATTATAACTAAATTACTTTCGAGGACTTTTGTACTAAATAGGTTAAGTTAGGTAGGTACGCTGTTTTAAAACAGAATACTATGTAGTAGAGATAGATAAGCAATTAGAAACTATTTTAAAGCTGATCGGTCGTATGCATGAAGATATATACCTACCTTCATGGTCGTATGTAGAAAATTAGTGCACAGAAAACAGAAAAGCGACGTGAAACAACGCTTGCGTTGTTTCACGTCGCTTTTCTGTTTTCTTTTCCCCGTCTCCCGAATCCCCGAATCCTCCACAATCCTCAAATACCCAATTCCCAAAAGGCCGGGAACGCACTTGTAACGTCTGGGTGTTTCGAGTGTCCATGGGCGGCGCTGATTGCTTACCATCAGGTGATCCGTCAGCTTGTTTACCGGCTTATGCTATAAGAAAAAAATACTACGTAGGTACCTACGTTTTCAATAAGTGAGGTGAGGTATAAATCATGGTCTGTCCCGTCCTCCGTCCTCCCTTTACATAAGTAAAAAGGTTTCACTATGGCCGCGTTTAGTAAACGGATTGGAGTTGGGGATAACCGTTCAAATGGTTCAGCTTAATCGGGTCTGGCATGGTCTTTGTGTGACCAAACGACTAAATTAATACATGACATAACATCACGCCTTTTATCCCTAAAGGGGGTAGGCAAAGGTGAACATTAAGTATGGCACTTAATGTCACTCTAAATTAGTAAAGATTATAAAAAATCCGAGCGTTGCGGTTGTCTCATTTTAAATATGTAGGTATTGCTTTAAGCAATTTGCTTACCCTCTTAATTCTTATTAGGTAGAGTAAGAATAGTGACAAAATGTTGGTACACACAGCTATACATCGAGCTTTACATTACCAGTATAAACTGAACGTTAAATGTGCGGAAAATTGATGCGACGCGACACCAGGATAAACTGGTTTTGTATAGATTGATGTGTCGCCGTGCGTGTGTACAATACTCAACCGTCGCCTTTAGGTATCCAGACTAAATTACGTTACCACGATTTCACGACTAATTCCACGTAATGTAGGCAGTTTAGATATACATATGACATTATGTAGAATGGACTCTAAGGGCTCGATTGTCAAGTGAATTTGTTACCTACTTGGGTACAGCGGCGGCCTTACCCATTGCGAGGCTATGTGCAGCAGGTCTTTGCGAGGCCCTTTGTCTTTCGTTAAAGTATGTGTTGAGAAAGAAAGTCTAGTTGTTTGATTCAGGTTAATGTCATGTTTGAGGAGGAATGCTAAAGTTATACAAATTAATGAAATTTCAATTTTAAAATATTAATCATTTTGTATTTTTAAGTAGCTAATAAACCAAGGAAGTTTTTATAATAGTTTGTACGCTTAGTGTAATATTGAGTTTTGAAGCTAAATGCAGTTTTCTATTGGCCAAATTACTGGCTCAAAACAAAATCTGATACTAATTTAATTGCTATTTTAAAACGAATGATATTTCTGCCAGTATTAGTATTAATAAATGTTTTAATTTAGGCTAGATATATTTTAACATTTTTTTAAACATTAGTTTGGGTTGTTGCGCGACGCCCTGTGCGATTGCACAGTTCGCCACCCCCTGCTTCCGCCGCTAAGGCCGCCGCTGCTTGGGTAGGTATTAGGTTTAGATTAACGGCGGTAATTCATAAACGATCTTAATCAAGAATCTGTATGTTGATCTCATTTGTCATGATCATGACAGAAATAATATCATAAATCGATGTTGATTTACAGATTTTCAATTTAAATTACCGTAATTTACCTAGGTATATTGCACCTGCTTTCCCTCTAACAGTTGATATTTATCGATATCGATCCAAAATCTGTAAATTAACATCGATTTCTGATATTATTTCTGTCATGATATACCTAGGTAAATTGGCAGGTAATTTACCTAGGTATATTTTATCTTTTATGCATAATTAAATGACTATATGAGTCTGATAAGAATAATCAGAATGGTTGGAAATGCGACTACCAAGCAAAATATGAGTAGTCGACGTCTTGAGTACGACTGTTAGAGTTCTTGGTTGTGCAGTGGTATTGACACACAGATTCACATTCCTATCACCTACATAGGATTTAATAAGGGAAGTAAAGTGGGTGCCACTGTTACATTGTATCGTATATTACTTCTGACTATAACTTCGAGAATTAAAAGTTTTTATGATTTCTCTAAACTCGTTACAATACAACGCGGCTACTCATTTTATTGTTTATCGGTATAGCTACGTCACATCCTGTATACTTCACGTTAGCTTGGTGAACTGAAATGGATTGTTTGAATTTCAAATATTGTAAGCTTAGCAGATTTATAAATACCTAGGAAAATATATACTTATTGCCCTCCAGGCATGATCTTCTAGCCTGGTCTGAGGATCCCCCTTTTTCGATTTTAGGGAACTTTACTCACTGTTCTGTGGTGACCCTCTGTTCGTGCCGTCAAACCACTACAGATGGGGCCCCAGTAGGGCTGATACCGATACAGAGCCGCGCGCGGAGGACTTAAAGGGTTGCCGGAGCCCCGGCTCGAAGTGCTGGAGTAGGAACGGGCGTGGTTTTTAAACAGTAATAAGTCTGACCCTCCCTCTCGCCTCACCCAGGCGGAAGAAGTATTTACCTGGATTATTTTCCCCTTAAAAAAAACTTCCGAAGTTTAGGGAATGCTATATGACATTATGATGGTGTAGTATGGTGAAGGCAAAGCAGAACAAAACTAATAGATTTCGACATAATTTTTTATAGTGAACCGAAAATATGTATGTTCAAGTCACATCAGCGATCACAGTCAAGTTCGACCCAAGTCCCTAAGCGAGTAGATGGCGGGACAAGTTATATACCTAGCCATAGTCATCCTTACAAGTGAAACAAGTGAAACAAGTGAAACAAGTGAAACAAGTGAATTTATTTCTGCAAATAGGCTACAAGGCAGCACTTTTACACGTCAATTTTATCAAGCGAACGATGAGGTCGACATTTCCTAACTGACTACTCTGAGAAGAAATGTCGAAACAAACTCAGAGGTCTGTCTCTTTTAAAGTCCAGACAGTATATATAATAGATTATGTGTGAGAACCGTGCAAGTTCTTTCTGTAGTGGCCTTTTGAGGAAAGAACCACAACAGTTTGAGCGGACCCGTTCTGAAGGCAGTACGCATGTGTCGGTTTACAGTCGGCTCAATTTACAGGTGAGGCTGACTGATTCGACGAACAATACCAACCTAAAGAACATTTGCGTGGGTCGCACAAATACTCAAACTGTCAGAATATGGGTAATTAGAAAAGAAATGGTGAGGCAAAGTCTCGCACGGTCCTAGCACTAACAATTGTATAGGAAAAAGCAAATGTCAAGTTAGAACAATATATGAAAAACAATGTCAAGAAATGTAACTATATGTTACAAACATGTCAACATGACCTGTGTGGACGTTACAGCAGCTTATTCCCAAGCCAGACTATCATCTAGGTAGTCTTTAATTTTATAAAAAGCTTTACTATAAAATTTATCTTTAATGACATTTTTAAATTTATTTAGACTCAAATTTTGGATATGTTTGGGAATTTTATTGTAAAAGCGTATACTCTGACATCTAAACGAACCACTTATTTTCTTTAGTCTAGTAGTGGGAACAACATATTTGTCTTTATTTCTCGTGTTGATATTATGTATATCACTATGCTTTTTAAATAAATTTTTGTTTTATGAGCATATACTACATTTTCATAAATGTATTGAGAGGCAACAGTCATTATATTAATTTCTTTAAATAGTTCCCTGAGAGAGTACCTCGGACTAAGATTATAAATTGATCGAATGGCCCTCTTCTGCAGAATAAAGATAGATTGAATGTCAGCAGCATTCCCCCATAGGAGAATACCATATGACATGACACTATGAAAATAACTAAAGTATACTAATCGCGCTGTATCTACATCGGTTAACTTTCTATTTTTTTTAACGGCATATGCTGCAGAACTGAGCCTTTTCGATAACTTATCTATATGTGGAGCCCACTGGAGCTTAGCGTCTAGGGTTATACCTAAAAAGACAGTAGAATCTACAGGGCTCAACTCCTCACCCTTAATGAGCACGCTGGTTTTAACATGTCCAACATTTGGTGTTGTAAATTTAATGCATTTAGTTTTAGTTCCATTTAGTAATAGGTTGTTGGCACTAAACCAGCGTACTATTTCCGAGAGAGCATTGTTCACATTATCAATGACTAATTGTCTACGTTTAAGTTTAAATAATAACGAAGTATCATCCGCAAACAGTACTATCCCGTGTTTATCCCGTACGAGGTAAGGTAAGTCATTTATATATATAAGAAACAAAAAAGGGCCGAGAATTGACCCCTGCGGAACCCCCATCCTGACAACAGACCCGGCGGAGACTTTTCCGTTTATCTCGACTCTCTGAATCCTGTTACTCAAGTATGAGGTAAGAAGATCCAGAGATTTACCTCTTATTCCATAATGGGATAGCTTCCTGATCAATGTATCATGAAGTACACAATCGAACGCCTTGGATAAGTCACAAAAAATGCCCAAAGCATCGCTTGAGTCCTCCCAAGCGTCATATACGTGATTAAGAAGTTCAACACCGGCATCAGTTGTTGAACGACCCATGGTAAAACCAAACTGGTTAGCATGTAGCAATTTATTTCTATTAAAAAATCTTTGCATTTGATTTAGAATAATTTTTTCAAAAATTTTACTAAATGAAGGTAGTACTGAAATAGGTCTAAAGTTAGTGGGGTCAGAAGTACTACCTGATTTAAATAACGGTGTTATTTTACTATTTTTCATAAGATCAGGAAACACACCACGGTCGATACAATTATTAAAAATTAGAGCTAATAGAGGTGCTATAATAGCTATAACAGAGCTGACAATGTACACAGAATTACCCCACAAATCTGCAGTCTTTTTCTTATTTAAGGTATGGAAGGTTTTGACAATATCTATGTAATCTATGTGTTCAAAAGAGAACCCTTTGCTGCAAGCTATAACATTTTCTTTTAGTAAAGATTCTGCAACAGTGGGAGATGAATTCAATGACTTAGTCGTGGATATAGGAATGTCCGAAAAGAAACTTTCAAATGCAGCTGCAACTTCTGCGTCTGATTTTATTACATTATTATCAATTAGAAGACTATATTCATTACTTCTCTTTTTGGACCTTCCCGTCTCACTGTTAATAATACTCCAGGTCGCTCTGATGACATTGGTACTGTTCTTTATTTTGGAGCTCAAGTACCGCGACTTTGCAATAGCGCAGACCTTTTTAAACAATTTAGAATATGTCCTAACATATACATTAAATTCGATTGTGTTAATAAATGTCCTCTCACTATATAGTTCATAGAGACGTTTCCTACTTTTATAGATGCCAGTGGTTGCCCATTCATTGAAAGATACATTGCTATTAACTGGTATAGTTTTAGGTGTAAAGGTAGATTTAAACTCGGTATAGTACATATTAAAAAAATCATCATACAAATTATTAGGATTTTTATTCATCAACAAAGGTAATTTTTGAGTGACTTTAGATTTGAAGATTTCAATGCGTCTTTCAGTCTTTGGGTTAACAGTGATAAATGGTTTAGACATTGTATTTACATGATTTGTTATTGAAATTAACTGTCCGCAATGATCTGAATCAAGCAATGATATAATTTGTTTCTTAATTGGTACAATGTCAGTATAAATATTATCCAGGCAAGTGGCACTAGTGGGAGTTATCCTAGTGGGCTCCAGAAATAAGTTCGTAAGGTTAAATGAGGCAAATAAACTTACAATTTTAGTGCTTAGACTAGAATTTTCTAACAAAGTTACATTAAAATCGCCACAGGTAATGATGAATTTATTTGAACTACTGAGTTTATTTAATACTTCATCTATTACTGTTTCAAAACAGTCATACAAACCAGAAGGTGGTCTATACACACTTAAAACAATAAACCGCTCTAATTCCACACAAGCTATTTCAACAGTGCGTTCAACAGAGTGACTAACTATATCCTTGCGTTCTTTAAATTTAAGTTTGTTATTTATTAATATTAGTGAACCACCATGTATAGCGTTCTCCCTGCTGAACGAGCTACCAATCTGGTGATTACCAAAATTGAACATTAGCTGATGAGATTTCAACCAATGCTCAGTAATACACAAAATGTCAACATTATTACAATTCAAAAATAACTCTATTTCTAGTTCCTTGCTCATAAAACCTTGAATATTTTGGTGAACCAGACTGATAACACTACTGTTTGATTTGCAAGAGGTTTCCTCTATTGTCTTACTTTTTAATTTAAATTATTATAAATGTCAATATTTATTGAATTATTATTAATAATGTCAATATTTGAAAGTTGCTCAATAGGAGCAACCTGTTTAGCCAAGTTCTTGGCTGTAATATTTAAAAAATATGATAGCGACACCGCTATTTGTCTTATATAATATTTTGAAAGATAGTACCTATCTTTAGTCACATATAAATTTTTGCCAACTAAATTGTTGGTGTCCATTACATGTATATTGCTATTATTACACAAATTATACATAGCAATATTTAATTTAAATCTTAAATTGTTTTCTTCCTGTGGCAAGCTATTACTATAAGGTAATTTAAACAAAATTATCTGCTTTATTTTAAGCTCTGTAAGTGAATTATAAAACTGCAATAATTTTTTTTTATTTAAACTACCTCTATTTCCACAAATAATTATGAGGGTAGAATCTTGTTTAAAACTATAATTGATAATTTTTTCCAAAATATTATTAAAAGAATATCCGGGTATACAGTGATTCATTATTGATTGTCCAGGGTAACTATTTGTCAGTAGAGAACCTAAGTTCTTCCCAATCTCATTACTGAAGATTACAACTTACTAATATTATAAATCGGAAAGTGAGTTTGTTTGTTTGTTCCGCTTTCACGCCGGAACTATTAAACCGATTGCTTTGAATTTTTCAGATGTAAAGTTAGAAGTCTGGATTAAATAATAGGGTACTTTTTATACCGGAAAAATTTGAAAAATTTGATATTCTCGAGGGAAAACGAAATTATTGGTATAGATGGCGCTGCATAGAGCAACACGGGCCACCGGCGGACCGGAGTGCTCTATGATGGCGCTGTGTGTATTGGTATAAGTCATATAGGCTACTTTTTATCCTTTTGTGACGCGAGCGAAGCCGCGGGTAAAAGCTAGTAGAGTTATAAAGCTGTAGAGCGCGTGCTCCTAAAATATGTCGGAGACTCGCAGTAGCATCATGTGCGGCGTATGGTGGTAAAGTACCTACCACCTTCTAGTTATTCGCTCGTTAGCAACAGTAATGTTTCCTATTTATTTATATGAGGCGTTAATAGCTACACCATTCGATATTGTTGATGATACAAATTAATAAATCTTTTGTGATCTACAATCTACATAAATATTATCAAAATAATTTTTGTACGCGTTGTTTTATATGAAAGTAATTGTGAAGGTAGGTTTTGATTACGCGACCGAAACTGCGGGAGGAAAGCTAATTACATGTACCCAGAGACTACCTTACTCTCTTCTGACACAGAGAAGGTTTGTGCATTGATCACCACGCTAGCTCAATGCAAGATGGCGCCGATTACTCATAATAAGCTATTAACATCAACTATCATACGATCCATCGGCTCCTTTGCTGGAGTCCAATTAAGAATAATACTTTATACGCGGGCCTGCGGACGGCGAGCATGGGTGGTTCCCCGTCCGACCAGATTGACCAGAAATAGACCCGACCGTACGGCGCGTCGCGTTCCGCGCGCGCCTCAAAGAGACATCAGACCACCACCAGATGCTGATTCGGAGTCGCGGAGAACCTAACGGGCAACCGGGGCTCCGGATCGACGTGCAGGAGAAGGAACGGGGTGGTTTTTTGTCAGTAAGAGTCTGACACTCCCTCTCGCCTCACCCAGGCGGGAGCAGTCATTCGATGATTTTCCCCCCTTAAAAAAGGTAATATTATATACTTATTTATTATATTCATGTTTCCAGTGACCTCTATATTTGCGAAAAATGGCGTTCTGTCGGGACGGCTGGAACATTACTGTTTGGTGTGCGATGAGTTGTTCAAGGGCGAAGAGGAAACTGTCGTGCATATCGTCAGCTTAATGCACAAGAACAAGTTAAACAAGTGCGGCTATTTAGAAAAATATAAAGGACATTTCATTAGGAAGGTAATTATAAAATTTCTTAAATTGGTATAAAAACGTTACTCTCTAGTGTCGGGGACGCATTTGAAAATGCTTTATCAATTACACAATTAGTTCACACACACCCGAAACTACAATTTGTAGATCATGCAATGTAACATGTATAAAAAATATTTATTATTTGTGTTTTGTGTCCCCGTGTGATGCGAGTGAGATTACTGGAAGCCCAATCGGCGATCTCATTTTTATCCCCAAACACCGGTAACGCTCTTGTAACTCTTCAAGTGTTGCGGGGGTGTCCATGGGCGGTCAGATGGCCGTCTGCTCGTTTGTCGCCCTATGTATTATTAAAAACATTCTACGTAGAAGAATAATCGTTCGAATACTTGATTTTTTTCTTTTACAGGTAAATGGTATTTATTTCTGCGAGCCATGTAGTCTGACCTTCCCAGTGGCTACGAAGGTGGAACTACACATAGAGGAACTGTCTCATCTGGACGCGAGGTCCGGTTCTATAGCTACTGTAAGACGCATAGACGCCAATACAGTGGCATATGACCCGTTCATTATATCAGATGATGCTTGGAATGGTTGCTTGAAGGACACCTGCGTTCTATGCAACATTGAGTTTGAAGAATCAGACCTCCGCGCCCATAAGATTTCGCGCAACCACATTCTGAATTTACTCAGAAGTAAAGTGTATAACTACTTAGGTTCGTCTCTTTCTACAGAACAAAACATTGCAATCTACAGAAAGGTAATTATTTTTCATGTGTATATAAAGGTAGTTCCGACTTCTTACGCGTTCTAACTTTTTGTCTGCACCATATACTTACAAATCCATATTTTCCTTTTTTGTTACTGCCATAATAATCGAACGTAAGTAGGAAGTAGGCACACCATAAATATATTGTAAGCCACAGCTCTACTTTTTTACAGATCGATGCTAAAACGAATCATTGTCTTACTTGCAACGAAATCATTGGACTTGACCTATGTAGCCATGGTGAGAGCGTCGAGCATAAAAGGGCTGTTAAACTTGTCGACAAAAACAACGGAGACCAAGTTAAAGCAGATACTTCACTTGAAAATGGTGGTGCTGCCAACTCTTTCCTTAACTTGAATAACGAGAGAGGAGACAAAGTTCTTCTTGGAGGCGCTGTTAACGGAGACTCCAAAAACGACGTTGATAAAGTAAAAGATAATCTAAAGCCGTCGGGTGCTGCTGACGAAAATGACGTCTACTTCAAAAACATTGATATACGAAACTACATCACTGACTATAAAGGCAAAAAGTGGTGTGTCTTATGTAATTGTTTTCTAACAAACTGCCACCCTAAAGAACATCTTCGTTCAGTTCATCATACCACTCTAATGAAACTGCACAAGGGAAAGGCAGATAACGGTCAAAAGGCCAATGCAAGCGCAAAATCAAATATGAATGATTTCGTGAGTAGATATCAAGAAAACAACATTAACATGAACTTGATTAATGAGACTGCGTTTTGTAAGAAATGTTCGAAGAATATTGATTTTGACACTGACTCTATTGATAAACATATTGAGGAACACAAGATTGCTATGAAAAAGACCAAAAACAATGTTCAGTTGGTATCAGGGATGAAGTCGAATGGTTCGGAGCGGACCACCTTGTTTACTAACCCAGTCTTGTTGGCAAGCGCCGAAACTAAGACCGACAAGCCAAAGACTCAACTAACGACGCTACAGGAGTTCGCAAAGACTCATGGGTTTACTCGTAATACTGCCGATAATAGCTATTACTGTCACGCTTGCGACCGTCGGCTCGCTACCAATAAGTTGAAAGAACACGTCGATAATAAGACGCATATTGATAATATTAAAAATAAAACAACTAAAACTGAAGAAAAAGCAGTCACAAAAAAGCCTCTTCTTGATGTCGTAGGAGTAGGCGAATTTATTGAAGATATAGAAAGAGACGAAACGATTTTACTTATCAACAATAAATATTGGCTGAACGCGTTTGGTTTCTTCCTGCTTGCTAGGTTTAATCATAAAATTTTCTGCCATGCCTGCCATATAGATCTTAATCAAAATAATATGTTTGAACACATAATAAAGGATGAGCACATAGAGGCTGTGGAGAAATGTCTCGTAGTAGCTTCTATGGAGGACGAATTTATTAGAGAGGTAGGTAAAGACGTCTTGAATTCTAAGTTACTGGTTGTTTCAATCATCAGCATCTGTTTCCGTATATTGCTGGACATATGTGCCTCCAACAGCACGCCACTGAGATCAACCATCAGCTCTTCTCATTCAACTACTGCACCCACTATACTCCGTATATATTCCGGATATCCTCACTCCAACGTCCACTACACTATTTTACGTTTGCCTAGAAGCGATCTCTATTTAAAAATAAGTCTATGAGTTGCTAGTTTTCTAAGTCTTGGTTGCCCGTGCTTACGGTGACCGGAGATCTCGCGGAGATCCCATCTGTTGGTTGATGGCGATCGATCTGTTTTTGACAAAAACTAAAACTTTTTGACAAAAATGATGTATTTTAAATCTACAGATCTTGGATTGAGATTAGATGGATTGGATTGTAAATTATAAAAGTCATAATTCAGTATTATTAATTAAAGCCTTAGCCTTAACTAGATAAAACTTTTTTTCAGATAAAGCTGGAAAAGTATCACTGCGGTTACTGTAACACTGTTGTAGAGGATTGGGACGATATGGTAGACCATGTTAGCTTGCCTAATCATAAATCTACTAAACTCGAGGCAGAGAAAAGACTTCAAATGCACCAAAAACTTAATCGCATTAGAGAAGTGGTCACGACGGAAAACGAAAACCAACTACTGATGGCATTTATAGAGAAGGTTAAACGATTGAAGCTTCACTAGACTCACATGTCAGTCAGTACTGATTTACGGGCAAAATTAAAAAGCAATCTTAATCCAAAATATGGAGCAATTCCAATTGTTCTAGGCAAGGACGTTGAAAAAAACGCGGACATAATCACTTAGGAATTATTGAAGCACCAAAATGTCAGTGGCTTTTGCTATGTGTGCGTGTGTAATTTTTCTATGTGTGCGTGTGTTTACCACGTAACCAGAATTAGAAAATGACAGGTATCCTTCGTGTCGATGTGTTTATGTTCTACGCGTGTAACTCAATATTAGCCAGACGTCACAGTCGTTGTTTCAGGAGATTGTCCACCTTTTTTCAACGTCCTTAGTTGTAGGTAATAATTCAAACTTATTTTTTTTTGATAGAAGTTGAATTAATATCAAAAATCGAGCTTAGATGATATTATTGAGATCAGATCAGTAAAAATACTGTGCCTTTAGCCAAACGCCACTTTAGCGCTTGTACAGCGAGAGAGTAGAAAACTAAATGTATGGGAATGACACTGACAGGTGTCAAAATTTACGTCAATGCCATATAATTTGGTTTTATAATCTACATGTAGACGAGCGCTAAATGGCATTTGGCTACAGCTGCCGATATTTTAGAGGTAATCGTATCGTTGTAGTTGCCCTAAAAATCTGTTAATTTGTACTAAACCACATCTTACTCTTAGTAATTGAAGAATACATTCAGAAATCAAATTGCTAGTTAGTTATTGCAAATTGCTACTAGACGGATGATTTTTTACTTATTTTAAGTGCTTGTATTGTAGCTATATACTGAAAGGCTACTTAATTTTAATTTGTACTTAAATATCGCGCCATCATTGGCTTAAAATTGAGTAGCGTTTGAGTATTTCGACGTAAGGCTACCCTATAGTATACTGTATTACTGTGCCAGTTTCAGTAACCTGTCTATTTGTTTACCACAGATACAATTTTGTTATAAGCTGTATACATAAGCTTTTAAGTGGGAGAGAGCCATGCTTCGGCACGAATGGGCCGGCTCGACCGGAGTGATACCACGGCCTCACAGAAAACCGGCGTGAAGCAAAGCTTGCGTTGTTTTTCGTTGTGTGAGTGAGGTATATTCGAAATCAGCGAATTTTCCTTCGCCGTGATGTAGGTATTGTTAAATATATAGTCGTAACCGTCGATATATAGATATAGGAAGGTTTATGTTGTAACATTCATGATACATGACATACTAAATTAATTACTATGTTTTCAGCTTACTCACGTCACTGTTTGACAAGGAACTCTACTAGTTTCAAGCCATGCTAGAGGCTCATATTCATGAGCAAGCATTCCGCGACCCGCAACGCGGCGACTGTCGCGCTGCTACTGGCTACTCGAGTATGCTGTGGTGCGGGCCCAGTGCCCACAAATAGAGAAAAGTGCGCGTGAATCAAGACAGAGGGCGCGCTCTAGCATGGCTTGAGTGGCGAGTTTCTCGTCAAATAATTACGAGAGTAAGCCGAAAAACAAGATAATTAAGATAGATAGGTTATTGAAATTGGTCGTCAAAAATGATTTTTCATTAGTGTCGTATGTAAGTATGTAACACAAGTGACTGAGCAACTGGCTGCTCATATCAGTCCAGGCTGATATAATGATGATGAGGGTGAACCTGGGTTCACCCACTGCTGGATATAGGCCTATCCCCTTTTTGTCATTTGTCCGCTAGAGTAAATTCTGAAAGTCTTTGATTGGGCTTTAATATTATTTTTGATAATTAATAATTAATACATACCCACATGCATAATTGCATATTTAATTGTGTAGTTCTTGTATGCATATCTTTATTCAATAAAATGTATAACCATTATTGATTTTCTTTCTATCAATTCCTTGAATCAACAATATTGCCAAATAAACCTTGAGTGTATTTCTTGATATTTTAGATTTGAACTGGGGCTTCATTGCACTGTATATAATATAAACCACTACTCTTCTACACACCATGAGTGCGAAACTCGAAAAGCCGTTAGTACATGACTTTTGAAAGTAAATGGCTTTTGGTTGTTGAGTCAGTTTTAGCACTAAACAATTAAAATCACAAAAAATAAGATATCTTACGGAAATCTGATTTCTCACCTGTTTTCTTTAATATCTTGTCAGTCGCTAGTTCAGATTACGATAATAGGTAATTTAATACTTTGATTCCGATGAAGGCAATCTATTTTTCTTGTGGCATCGAGCATTTCTTTCTTTATTTAAACAAGAGTTTATTTATTTGTTTTTTTCTTGTATAGAAGCACTATTTTATATGGATTGTCAGTATACATATGTGAGGACCATGTCAGACTTAAGATATTTGTTTTCTCTTGGTTTTGTTTTATTTATTTTTTTTTTTTAGTACTTTTTGTTATTTGTATTCAGGTATGTCTTTACATTATTTTCACATGTGTGTACAATATTGGAATATGTATCAGAGCAATGTAAAACAGACTTTTTTTTAAAAGAGAAGTTTCTTGCTCGTTCTTCTCCACTCGAATCGACATTTTGGAACGAGCGCCTAGCTTCACTGACGGACAGACTGACTGACTATTATTTATTTTATATTTGTTGACGTTTCAAAAATATCAAATTAAGGTTTAATTGAAATAAATGCTTTTGGGTTTGCGTTTGAGTCGCACTTCAGAGTCAGGCTAGTGTGAGTTGCACTGACTTACTTAAATTACGAGCAAATTAACACGCAGAGTGCTTGTTGCTCAGAACAATTTATTAGGCGTTTTGTATCACAATCGTCGTACAGGGTGCTTATTCTTGTTACCAATCTCAGTGTCAATGCAATTTCAATCCAATAAATTCTTAACTCGTCGAGTACCGTATTTATAGACACAATTAAAGAACAATAGGTTGCGGTCACCGGTGACCGCTTGGTGTTTGACAGTTTAATAATTGTTAAATGTCAAAACCCCTTTCGTAGCTGTTGAATTAGCATTCACAGTACGGAATATAAAGCAAACTCAATAGCATTTAGTTAATTCAATATCCACGCAATACGGATGCATTGGGCGCTAGTGTCGCAACTCAAGAGTTTCATACCAATGTCGATCGATCGGAATTAGATTCAAGAGTAAGCCCCACTGGTTGATCAAGAATTTGATAAAAGGATCTAAAAGTGCAAAATCAGTTTATGGAACACTTTAACAACCCACCACCATTGGCCACAGAATATATACTGGTGAACATAGGCTAACCCAGCCAATGACTTTGCACCAACTTATAACAAAGGTATCAACTACACTGCATTTATGGTACCTATAGGGCAGTAAACGAACAGAGAGGTCGTCTGATGGTACACAATCAGAGTGCCCAGCACGAATAACTATCGCATTTGTAACTTATCGAGCGCGTTCGGCGATCTGAACCAACCAATCGAAATGCAAGCGTAGTGTTGTCCACGGGCAACGCCGTTGTTTCACGCTGGTTTTTTGTGAGGCCGTGATATCACTCCGGTCGAGCCCATTCGCAAGCATAGCTCTTCTGTGTCAATGTTTTTACTTATTGTAATAACCTACTTACCTCTAATCCCTAATCGTATACTGTTGGTTTTTAGTTTCGAATCAAACACTTGTGGCGTAGCGTATCTTCGCAGGGCTTCGTATAAAAATTTGTTTGGGGGTAAAAGCCTTATGAAAAGTGAAAATTACCCAGAAGAGCTTTTTTTACATAATATTATGGAATTTCCGGTTTTAAGTTAAAACCAGGTAACTTTCTTAAACCTTTCCAGGTAACTCTCTCTGCCCAAATTATCGGACAATTTTTCCCAAGTTTCTGCCATGGAATACATTTCTCTATTTCATGGTTTCTGCCAACCTTTGAACGCATGCATTTTGTGATTATTGAAATAAAATATTAATTGGAAATTTTTATATTTTTTTTACACACGTTGGGTCCCGTTCCCGTAGTCTGGGGGCCCCATATAATGGATACGGCAGATACGGCGCTAGCTTCGCTCCTGGTTTGTACTAAAAAATTACCGCTGTTAAAATTAAGCCAGACGTCGTACAGACAAATATGAAGCTATCCTAACTTATAAAACATTTGAAATAGAACTACTACTTTATAGTTTGGTAATAAAGTCGAAATACGAATGAAGTACGACGGATAGCTTGATGCGCGTCTGTTCAATAGATATGGTTTACAATACCCGCATGATTTGATTGAGCGATATCTTGTTATCTGTGGTTATACACCTAACTAGTTAGTAACTAAATATAACATCTTTTATCTCCTTTGTCCTGATTTTTTATGGGATTAGCCGGCACACGGGCAGACGGATCGGTAAGCAATTAAACAGCGCTGCCCATGGACATCCGAAATATCAAAGCCAAAGGCATTCCAAATCCGTTACCGGCGTTTTGGGTGTTAAAATTGGAGATTGTTGGGGATTCAGGGATTGGGGAGATTGCGGAGGGGGGTAATTGGGCCTCCGGTAACCTCACTCACACGACGAAAGACAACTCAAGCGTTGCTTCACGTCGGTTTTCTATGCGTCATAAAACTGCGATGCGACGTCGCGAATTGATTTGCATCGCGCATCAAAATCTAATCTTCCCGAAATCTTTTTTGTTTCTTTTTTCCTGTATCTCCTAAGCAATAACAGAAGTGCACACTTCTTTTTACGATACATGTCACGACCTAGTTTTCAATTTAAAATACGTTTAGTACGGTTGACGGTCGTCGAAGAAATGGTCACCCTGGGGGACGCCTTGTCGCACGAAAACGTATACGTGCGTGTCGTAATTTTTTGCTTTGCAAATTCGCATCGCATCGCCATTCGTGCCGAAGCATGGCTCTTAAAAAGTTAAATTAAAACTGATTACAGTGACTACTTCACTTCCAACATAATTACCAATATTTTTGAGGTTTACTGACTTTTGTCAGAAAATTCACTTATATGGTAGTAGTATTTAGGCTATTCTATCAACTATTTTAGTATTTGCGCTCCATCAACCATCTCCATCAACGAGGCACCTAGAAAA